TTCAGGAGACTGCTCTTCAATCTTGTTTTGGTGTGTCTGTCTTTGCTTGGTTGCTGATTCTCTATTGGTAGAGAGAGTCTGTGTCTGATCTGGATTCTGTTGGGAGCCTATTTCCAGCTGCTATTCACTTAGGATTCTCAGCTCTCTGCTGTAGCAATTCCCGCCTTTGGAAGGGTTGAGCAGCCTAGACTGCTTGTGTTTGCTCCTGCGGGTGCTCTTGGGAAGATCAGATGCTCTGGATGCACTCTCCCAAATACTGGAGTCTGCTATGGGCTCCTGATGTGTTTTTGTTTGTTTTGGGCTGGTTGTGGGCTTGAACTCTAGGTTTGGGTGCTGTCCCTCAGCTCTTCAGCTCAGGGCTGGCACCCTACCATTTGAGCCACAGCCCCACTTCTGACCCTTTTTGCTTTGTTCAGGCGCCGGTCCCCTGGCCTGGTTCCGGCCCCAGCCTGGAGCGCGCTCGTTAGGCCTGTGCTAATGTGTATACCACCTTGGTTATGCAGCCTGGAGGACACAGTTCAAATTTCTTCTACTGTTGGTAGTCTTGACCCAGGGGCACTGTTCCTGGCTTGAGTATTTAAGCTCCCTTCCCGGGGCGCTCTTGCTCTGGCCTGGCCAGCAGAGTGTGCTCCACCGGCTGGTGGGGCTCTCGAACAGTTCCCAGTTTTAGTGGGTCCTGTGGTCCGGGTGTTGGGGTAGGGAGTCTAGGTCAGGGTCTGGGGATTCCCTCCAGCTCTGGTCTCCCTTGATGGATTCCCTGTCCCCTGATGGGTACTCACCCTGTAGGTCGTCAGTTGTTGTTGCAGTCCGTCAGTTGTTGTTGCAGTCCGAGTTCAGTTGGGGTGGTTGCGGGCTGGGTTGGGCGGCCCCCCGCCGGGTCGTTGCGATCGCGACAGGTCCCTTTGTGGCGCTGCTGGTGCCGGGCGGCTTTGGCGGGATGGAGCCTCTCCGCTCCGGTGGAGAGTGATGGGTGGGGTGGGATCCTCCTGGAGACTCCCGGCTGGTAGGTTTCTCTGTTCCTGGCGATCCGCTGTTCTCGTCCCTTGAGTTTTATTACTTTGCAAGTAACTATCCAGAGAGAGCCTGCTAGTGAGCCCCGATCACAGCCCACTCGCGAAGCGCATTTGCACCATGCTCCGCTCTTTCTTTCCTGGCCATTCTGTGCCACTAACAGTTCTTTCTCCTTTGCAAACATCCAAGAGGTTGATTATCTGCGCTCCACTGGTTTACGTTAAGATTTTGAATCCTCTGGGGCTGGGAAGGTGGCTCAGTGGTAGAGCGCTTGCCTTGCATGCTTAAGGCCCTGGGTTCGATTCCTCAGCACCACATAAGCAGAAAAAAAAAGCTGGAAGTGGTGCTGTGGCTCAAGTGGTAGAGCGCTAGCCTTAAGCTGAAGAGCTGAGGGACAGCGCCCAGGCCCAGAGTTCAGGCCCCATGACTGGACCCCCCCCCAAAAAAAAGATCTTGAATCGTCACCTGGGTGCTAATGATCCCCTCCCTTAGTCCTAACTACTTAAGAAGCTGAGATCTGAGAATCAAGGTTCAAGGCCAGCTCCAGCAAACAAATCAGAGACACTCATTTCTAATTAACAGCAAAAAGCTAGAAGTGGAGTTGTGGTTCAACTGGTCAAGTTCTAGCCTTCAGCTAAAAACCCCAATGATCCTGAGTTCAAGCTCCAATACTGGCACCCCCCCCCCCCCCCCCCGCCACACACACACAGAAAATTTGAATCCTTTATGATATAACAGGTTAAAAAGATGAAAATGGTGTAATTGTTCTTGAGAATTATGGTGCTTTATATCTGCACCCATATTGCTTGTGAACACTCCTCCAAATACATATATGCTGCCTGTCAAAATACTTGAGAATTCAAAGATCTCATATTCGTTGTAAAATGAATGTAAATTTACTATTTTCATGCATTACAATTCTCTTCATGGTTCTTCTGCAATTTACAGGACACATTTCCTCATTAAGGACTGCTGTGAGGGAGACTGGGTTTTCTTTGGTGTGTGTGTGTGTGTGTGTGTGTGTGTGTGTGTGTGTGTGTGTGTGTGTGTGTGTGTGTGTGTGTGTGTGTGTGTGTGTGTGTGTTAGACGGCTGGGGCTGGAAGGCAGGGCCTGGCGCGCTCAGCTCTGTGTTTTTGTATTTTGGGGGGGCTTGAACTCAGATCCTGGGCTTGAACTCAGAGCCTGGGCATCATCCCTGAGCTTTCTTGCTCAACACTAGCACTCTCCCACTTTGAGTCACAGCTCCATTTCTGGTTTAGGGGTAGTTCATTGGAAGTAAGAGTCTCACGGACTTTCCTGCCTGGGCTGGCTTTAAACTGAAATCCTCAGACCTCAGTCTCCTGAGTAGCTGGGATTATAGGTGTGAGCCACCAGCACCTGGCTTCACTCAGCTTTTTTACTCATGGCTGACAGTCTACCACTTGAGTCATGCCTCCAGTTCTTTTATGAAGTCTTTTATGTTGAAAGATACTTAAGTCTTCTTGAAATTTGTTTTTAGCTCTTAAAATATTGAGATATAGTGCTATATAGTTTTATATGTATATATAATCTATGTTATACATTATATATTTTTGTGTGTATATATGTGTGTGTGTGTATAATGTATAATATACCCTATATATATTATATGTGTGTATCTTTCTTGTGAGTGACAAAGCCAAATGAGAGCTCACGGTCCTGTGTTCAAACCCCAGTATAACACACACACACACACACACACACACAGGAATGCAATAGCATGTATAGCCCTTAGTCTAGTTCCCTTCCTCTGACTACTATATTCTAGATCTTGGAGTTGGTTATTGCCACATAGCACTTCAGTTTGCTTCCTTTCCCTCCATACTCACCATGATGTAGGGGAACTTACTCCTGCTATGTAACTGGATTTTTAAGCCCTCCCATCTCCCTGCCTCCCTCCCATCTGCTCCCCCGCCCCTGCTAGCCCCCATTCTTCCCTGCGTCTGGTTCAACATCTTTAGATTCCACACATCAGTGAGATCAGGGGAATTCCTGCCTTTCTGTGCCTGGATAGTTTCACTTAACAAGCTGTCCTCCACTGGATTCCTTTGTATGGCCGAATAGTCCACTCTATATATCTCCATTTTCCTTATTCGTTCCCCACGGATGGCTCCTCTTCTTAATGCTGTGAATAATGCTACGATGCATGTGGGAGGTGGGACACTCAGGAGCGGATTTGCACAGTAAGACAAGCATCGCCTCCTCTCACTGATATGTAGACTCTTTTTTTTTTGGTCAGGTCCTGGGGCTTGAACTCAGAGCCCGGACATTGTCCCTGAGCCTCTTTGTGGCAAGGCCAGTACTCTGCCACTTGAGCCACAGCCACTTCTGGCTTTTTCTGAGTATTTGTTGGAGATAAGTCTCATGGCTGGGGGTGGGGGGAGAGGGGGAAGGGGAAGGAGGAGTTGGGGACGTGGGGAAGAAAGGAATGGTAGGGGGAAAAAAGGAGCATTTAACAATGCTCGATAGGAAATGGACTCATTACCTTACTCATGTAACTGTAACCCCGCTGTACAGTATCTTTACAATAAAAAAATATAAAGGAAAAAAAGTCTCATGGATTTTTCTGCCTAGGCTGGCTTTGAACTGTCATCCTCAGATCTCAGCCTCCTGAGTAGCTAGGATTACAGGCGTGAGCCACTAGCGCCCTTCCATGGACTCTTTTGTGTGTATTTGTCTTCACTGGGGCTTGAACTCAAGGCCTTGCGCTCTTGCTTAGTTTTTTCTCTTAAGGCTGGTACTCTACCACTTGATCCACATCTCTACTTCCAGCTTTTTGCTATTAATTGGAGATAAGAGTCTCTCAGTTGGGGCTGGGAAGGTGGCTCAGTAGTAGAGTAGTAGGCTTGTATGCATGAGTCCCTGGGTTCAGTTCCTCAGCACCATGTAAGTAGAAAAAGCCGGAAGTGGTGCTGTGGCTCAAATTGTAGAGTGCTAGCTTTGAGCTGTTTTGCTGAGGGACAGCACCCAAGCCCAGAGTTCAGGCCCCATGACTGACCAAAAAAAAAAGTCTCTCTGAGCACACAGTCTCAAAGCTCCAGCTGGCTTTGAACCTCAATCTTCAGATCTAAGCCTCTTAAGTACTTAGATTACAGGTGTGAGCCACTGGCACCTGGCGATATATGGAGTCTTAAAAAACTTGAACGCCTCTGTGGTAGAGTGCTTGCCTTGCATGCATGAGGCCCTGGGTTCAAGTCCTCAGCACCACATAGCAGAAAAAGCTGGAAGTGGCGCTGTGTGCCTTGAGCTGAAGAGCTGAGGGACAGCGCCTAGGCTGAGTTCAGGCCACATGACCAAAAAACAAAACAAAACAAAAAACAAACTTGAACTCAACACTAGGCACTGATAGCTCACGCCTATAATCCCAGCTACCCAGGAGGCTGAGATGTTCATGGTGCAAAGCCACTCCAGGCAGGAAAGTCCCTGAGACTCCTCTCCAGTTAATCATCAAAAAGCTAGAAGTGGAGCTGTGGCTCTAGTGGTAGACACTAGCTTTGAACACAAAAGCTCAGGGTTAACCCTCAGGACCTGAGTTCAAGCCCAAGGACCAGCACAAATTACAAGCCCTTTAAGCAACAACAAAACCCTTGAACTCAGACAGGGACTTGGGTGTACAGGGGAGGGTGGGTGGATGGGTGGGGGAGTCGGGCAGGAAGTAGCTACAGTCCAGTCCAGAAAGTGCTCTCGGGAACAGGGGCTTGAGCGCTGGGCCTGAGCACTGTCAGCTTTTTCCCTCAAGGCTGGCATGCTCCCACTTGAACACAGCTCTTTGTCGGACTTTTTGTTGGCTAGTTGGAAATAAGCATCATGGACGGGCCAGGCTGCTGCTGCTCTTAGTTGACTGTTGAGTGGAGCACCATTAAGTGTTCTATCCAAAATCTTCCAAGAAATTAGTTTCTGTTGGTTAAAGGGAAAAATTTCCAAATGTCAGAGAGTCAAGTTATTTATTACTGTGCATTTTCTTTTACAGCAAGAATAGTAACAACCTTAATGACTACCAATGATTTCACAAGTAAGCAAAAGTGGTTTTGTTCCATACCTGTTTGTCTTCTGTATGATGCCTCTTCCAAAACCATAGGGTTTAGCAGATCTGTGTGTGTGTGTGCGCGTGCGCATGCGCGCGTGCACGTGAGTTACTGGGGCTTGAACTCTATCCCTTAGCTGTCTTCACTCAAGGCTGGTGCTCTTACCACTTGAGCCACAGCTCCACCTCAGAATTGCCCTTTTTTTAGGGGGCATGGGGGGGCAGATCTGAGAGTCTTGCTATATTGCCTAGCTTGGGCATTCTAACCACTGAGCTAACTGGCCAAGATCCAGTTTGGTCCTTTTTTTTTTTTTTGCCTCTGTCTCCCTAGTGGTTGGTACTGCAGGTATATACCACAGTGCCTTTGCTTACCCCAGTGCTCCTGAGACACCAGCACCCTTGAGACTTACAGGGGGTGAATGGATTTGGAAGTGGCAGCACTTCCTGGACTGAGCCACAGGACTCTTAAGCACTAAAAATGACACGCTTGCTCATAGGTCAGACCAAGTCACATAAGGCAGAGGAGGGGAAGACCGTGCCCCCAGTTTGTATCCACCTTCTTCTAAGTCTCATGACCTATACAAGTTTCATTTGGGGGTTGGAAGTGGAGCTTTACCTGGTCTTCTTAGAGCTAGAGAGATTTTCCTTTTTAAAGTGCAATATTTTTAATGCCCAATTTTTCTCTCCTTTTTAGTTCTTACACGTTTTGTGATCATGCTAGCTTTAAACATATGGGTAACAGCTACAGTACTGCGCTACCGGAAGCCTGCCGTCAAAGCTGAGTGATGAATGTTATCCTACGCACAAAGTGGAATCGAAGGAAAAGCACTAACGTCTTCTCAACATTCAGTCAATCGTTGCAGAAACTTTGAAGTCAGAGGTGGTTTAACAGCTTCGGAAGCACCTGTAGCCAGGTGTGGTGGCTGTAATCCCAGCACTCAAGTAGGAGGGCCACAAATTCAAGGCTAGCCTAACAGTAGAACTTGGGAAAAGAGGAGAAAGAAAGGAAAAGAACTACTCAGTATGCCATTTCCCCACCGCTACCTGCCCTCTGCTCACGATATAGCCCAGGCAGAACTTCAGGTGTGATCCTCCTGCCTCAGCCTCCAGAGTGCTGGAATTATAGGCTATGCCTCTTGATGTAGCTTAACATCTGCAACAATTCAGTTGCCCAAGAAGGCTGACACTTACTCTTGGAAGAACCAACTGCAATATAGCATTCCAAACCTTTTTAAGAAATAGTCTCTCAATCTGGTGGAGAGGCTCACGCCTGCAATCCCAGCCACTCAGGAGGCTGAGATCTGAAGATAAATGTTCCAAGCCAGCCGGAGCAAGAAAGTGAGATTCTTATCTCCAGTTAGCCACCATAGAAAGCTAGAAGTGGAGGTACAGCTTGAGTGGTAGAGTGCCAGCCTTGAGTGAAAAAGGTCAGGGACAAGGCCCAGGCCCTGAGTTCAAGCCCAAGTACCACCACCACAAAATAAGCCTTTCCACAATTAAAATGAACACTAGTGGAGTGGGATTTTGCAGTTAGTAGTGGAACTGTATGTAGTAAGGCAGTAGGGTTCATGCCCTGGGTGTTTGATTTTAGCATAGGAAAACCATCTTGGCCTTACTGTACATCATAATGCAATCAACGTGTGTCCAGGTTAAGCCAGGTTATCAGAACAAGCACAGGTGTAATTGGGTTGTGTACTCTATGGTCTCTTCACTTCGTGCCTTTAAGAAATCCCTAACCTAAGGTACTACTATAGGCAATCTCTACTTAGGAAGAGATTGTGCTTTCAAGCACAAGTCTGTATCTACTTTTTTAAAGGGCTATACAGCTATACAATTACCGTTAACTGGAATTCTGCACAAAATATCAGGCTGAAGTCACCGAAAACTACGTAGTAAAGGGGATTGTGGTTGTTGGTTATGGGGCTTGAACTCTGGGCCTGGGCGCTGTCCCTCAGCTCTTCAGCTCACTCTACCATTGAGCCACAGCGCCGCTTCTGGTTTTCTGGTGGTGGTTTATTGGAGAGAAGAGAATCATGGCCTTTCTTACCTGGGTTGGCTTTGAACCATGATCCTCATATCTGAGCCTCCTGAGTAGCTATGATGACAGGCGTGAGCCACCCGTGCCCAGCTTTCGCCTGATTAATGGACTTTCTTCTCCACTAGACGGCTTTTCTGGTATCATGATTATCTGCTGTTTCCTCTAGACTTTTACCAACCCTAACATTCCTCTAAGTGTCCTTCATTCTATTATGTAGTAAGTAAATGATGTTTACTGGAAAATTCATAGCTTAATTTCCGATATGTAATAAACTTCAATATCTTCACCTCACTCCAGTCTTCACTCTGTCAGTCATTGTTAAGTGATGTAAACACATTTGCAATAAGCCAGTTAATCCTTTTTGGTACCATCACCCAGGACCGGCAGGGCAAGAAATGCTTAATCTACACAGCCATTACCGGATTACTTCAACTGCAGTTGTCATTAAAACCCCAAGTTAATGTTTTTCACATGACATTGGAATCTTCTTGCAGAATTACAAATTATGTGATTTTTTTCTTTTTTGGTTTGGCCAGCCCTGAGGCTTGAACTCAGGGCCTGGGCACTGTCCCTGGGCTGCTTTTGCTCAAGGCTAGCACTCTACCACTTGAGCCAAAGCATTTCTGGCCTTTTCTGTTTATGTAGTACCAAGAAATTGAACCTAGGTCTTGAAACCTGGTAGGCAAGCACTCTACCACTAAGCCACATTCCCGGCCCTATGTGATCCTTTTGACCCCAACACATATATTCTTTTTGTACTGGCGCTTGAACTCGGGGCCTGGGCACTGTCATTGAGCTTCTTTGTGCTCAAGGCTAGCACTCTACCACTCGAGCCACAGCTCCACTTCTGGCTTTTTGGTAGGTTAGCGAAGATAAATGAAAAGCTCACAGACTTTCTTGCCGGGGCTGATTTTGGACCATGATCCTCAGATCTTAGGCTCCTGTGCGGCTATAATTATGGGTATGAGTCACTGATGCCCGGATCCAACAAATATCTTAGGCATACATTAACAGTACTTAATCACTGCTTAAAGCAGCCCCTGAAGAACAATTAAGGGTTCATTTTCACCTTTGGACATAACGGATCTGAGCGACTCCACATTCCCTCACACTAACGGTGAAATGATCCTCACAGATAACTTTCGCTGTGGCCTGAGCACCCATGCCCAGCGTGTAGACCCTGCTCACAGTCAAGTACCAGTGCATTAGAAAGAACCTACTGATTACCAAAGAAAACTTCTAGAAAACCATCCGCTGGTACACTGTATCAGATACTGAGAGCCTCCTGCCTACTTATCTGCCCTCAATCAGAAGGAACAAAATGCTAAGGGCTGTATGTCCCTTAAATACTCACATCAGAGACCGGCCCTGGCTAAATTCTCCTTTGTGCTTTCCCACGAATAAAAAGGACAAAGCCCAAGAGCCATGAATCTGGCCTTAAGATGGCACCCACCCCATTGGACTGACACTCATCTTAAGATGACACCAGCTTTGAAAGAAGAGTAATCATCTGGTGAGGGCATTCTGGGACTACTTCACAGGAAAGTATGACACTGCTTACATCTTCATTCATCTATTTTATTTTATAAAAAGCAGGCATAAAATACAATTACATTACTACAAAGAGGAAACAAAATTTTAAAAAATCAAGGGTGTATGATTTTTGTTCAGGGGAACAGCTGATCAAATATGATTATCTAAACCATGCAGCTCATAACTTAATACAATTCCAAACAAAAGTCCTATGGGGGGGGAGAGGGAGGCCCCTGGGCCTGACACCCAGCACTGTCACACAGCGCTCTTCAAAGTGCTCTTCAGCCAGCCGCGGCTCCTCCATCCTCCAGCCCGGGCAGCTGAAAGCTTGCCAGCCGGGTGAGGGGTGAGTTCAGTAGCGGTGTCCACAGGGGTGGAGAAACTCAAACGACTGGCTGGCCCTAAGCCGAGCGGAGCGCGTGACTTAAAGCATAGTTAATGTAAGGTGAATGCAGTGTCTGAGTTTCTCTGATTTACCCTCAATCCTGAAAGAAAAGTTAACGACAGCAGCATAACTTCTTAAGTTGTGATTTGGCAAACTCGAGCATCTCTTGCTTAGGATCTACCACTGAGCTGAGGAGAGTAGCCTTGGGCCCGGTCTGTGTGACCCTGCACAGGTCAGTACAGGTCAGTTCCAAAAGCACAAACCTGTTTCCATTGGTTAGCTGGACAATTTTAAGCTTTCAGATATATTTTACTTAATCTTGCTTCTAGACAGCATTTAAAAAATTAATACTTATAAAAATGTATCACACCTTAATTTTCAACAGTAATTACCGGCATTAGTTCTAACTTCTGTCTTGTTACCCCACAAAACAAAAGTAGCAAATACAACCAAGAAAATCCCAGTATTCATTAACTCAGTTCCCAACTGGAGGTATTTACGGTTCTAGGAGAAGCCAGGCATTCAGAAATAAGCAACCTTTGGTCTCCTATTTGACTTGGACATTTGGGGTCTCAAGGTGAACGAAACTGGCACAAGGGAGAGTGATGCTATTGGGTGAGTGTTGGGAGGAATACGTGGACAGCTACCCGCATGCACGCACACACGCCGTGCAGAGGCCGTGAGGGGAAGGGCCAGTTGAGCTCAGGAGTGTCTACTCAGCACATTTCCCTTGGTTGGAAGAACCACCCCATGAATCCTGACATGAGGCCACACTGTGGGAACTATCTCCACGGGAGATCTCTCCACCTCTCGGGACCGTCGCCTGCTGAGCACTGCCTGTCGGTTTTCGTGCACAGGTCCACGTCCGGCACGACTCTCCTCTTTCTTCCGCACACACACATATATGTACAACAAAATTTATACTTTTGCCTTCTGTACTCAAATACTTCAGTTATTCATGTGTAAACTTGACATTATTTCACCTTAATAAAGTTTATTAAAAATATATATATTTATATATACTCTCCAATTCAGAATAGGCTAGAACCTCCCATAATGTAACAAAATCTTTATATAAAATATTAATTCAGTCTCCTTTTAAACAACTCTGATGAATGGAAATACTTCTATATATATTCTATATATATATATATATTTTTTTTTTAGTCTAGGAAGGAAGGGGGATGGAAAGGGAAAGAGGAGAGGAAAGAAAGAGGAAGGTAGGAAAAGTTATGCCCAAACCAGAGCTGCAGAGCATTCCTGCTGCACAGGAAGTGCTTCACATCTAGTATTAGTATAGGCAGCATGAAAGATGCAGATTAACTTAAAAAAAAAATCACAATTCAGCTTCAGTATATCAGTAGGCCAAGGCTGAGCTTTAATTTCCAAAATAGTATCTTTAATGAGGATCAAACTCTTTAAACATCTCTACACTGACCCTAGAAGGAAGTGATTAAAAAAAAAAGTCTACTTCCTTCACTGAGATACTGGATATTTCAATATCATACCCAACTGTGGTGTATATATATATATGAGACTGGTAAAAGAGTACATAATTTTTAAAAAAACGAAACTTGATGTGTACCAGTGCTGCATATTGTCATGGTACAAAATGTATTTATCTGGGATGAGAAATAAATCATCTTAATAGCCTTTTAAAAACAAAAAATCAAATTAAGTGCCTCTGAGGCTGCTTCTTCCAAGTTACCAGTTTTCTTAACCCAACACTGGAATATTGCCATAAGGTTATGTTTCAAGATCACATTTAAATATTTAAAATATATCTACATATATCTTAGTTTTCCTCATATTTAAGACAATTTCTGAATCATGAGTGTGAAAACGTAGAAATAGTCACAAACGTATTTACCAGAAACAAAGCCACACCTAGGTTAGCCAGCAAATTCCAAGCAAAGCCTGCTGTAGTCACAGACTAACACTGATGTCTGGAAAGGGGATGGGTGTACAAAAGTATCATATAGCCTCCATTTCTACCCATTATTGTTTCTATGACCAACACATTTAAAAAAAAAAGTCTTGTTATACAACCAAGAGCCTGATGTGATGTAACTATTGTGTGTAAAAAATAGTGCACTATTTTTTGTCCACAAAGCAAGTTTGTATCTACGAGCTGGTAAATACTTGTTCCTTCCTCCCCTACCCCCCCATAAATACAGAAAAGGATCAAGACTTTGAAAAAAATTAAATTAAGGCATTCAAAATGGGCGAAGTTGCCTATCATGGAGCACTAGGAAACTGATATAAACTTCAAGCTTTTTGTTGCAGTAATTGCTTCGACATGAACATGCAGCTCCTATCAGATACATGTGGATGAGGACAAACTCCAGGATTATGGCTTTGTACAAGTGCATAGTTGCAACTGAAGAAATGATATCTGATTAATGCATATAAAAATAAAATGGTAAGTTAAAAAAAAACCCTCTTACAGTATTACAGTACTATGTGTTTGTGTGTGCGTAAGTGTGTTTCACACACGCACATATATATACATATACATACATACACATTACAAATAACACAATATCATGGTCACTCTTTCTACGATGCAGTCTGTCACTGTAGTGGACTCCACTCCCAGATTCTTCTGGGTAAATGTGCTGGTGAAATCTTGGTTGAAGCTGAAAGATGATTTCTGTAACTCTTGTGTTTGGCGGTGTAGTGTGAATGACTGCCAGGAGAGCTGAATGCAGCGAGCTAGAAGATCTGTGTCTACCCTTACTCTACTCACCAATCACTGCTGGTCAAAGGAGTAAGCCAATCTGTCCATGATTTTTAATTTACATTATAGGAAAAAGGGAACATATATATGTATGTGTGTTATCAGTCTCTCAGTAAAATATAGCTTTTAATAAATTTTGGGACATTATATTTGAGTCTTGTTTTAACTGGAAGAATGTGATCACCTTGATGACTGCTTTCACAGAAGACAGTTAGCTGGAAAGAAAGAAAAATAAAGTTAGCTGACATGATGAAATAATTTAAAAGACAGTTAAAATTCTCTAAAAACGCATTCACTCGGTTTATTTGCTACCTTCTAAATTCTCATACCTCTACTTCTAAATCATGCATAAACATTAATTAATTCTGCTTTTCTGACTTTTAGGCACATGCAATTATATTCTTTCTCAATGCAACAGTGGGGCTTTGGAAGTTCAAATCTGGCTACAAACATTATGCATACGCTGTAATGCAGTTAAGAAGCTACTGGAGTTGAACAATGTGCCACAGAACAACCTATCTGAATGGGAGCTTGGTCTGAGGTTAACTACTAGCAGCCTCATGGAACGGAAAAGGCAGTGGACTCATGGGCCAGGTTCAGCGTAGCTGTCTGACGCTAAGCCATATTTCTCTCATCTACAAAACAGGAAGAAACAAGTTGTTTTAAAAAAAGAAAAGCTACCCAGTAAAACCTGAATATAAACATAATATTACATAATTTATGTTCTGCAATATGCTTCTTGGAACTGATATCACTGCTTATAAATCTATTGTTTAAAAGGTTTAAAGTCATGAGGCTCAACTGTTATTCAATCTCCTTTGTTATTAAGCAAACGATTTTACATGTTCTAAAACCACAGAAGTTTCCACAGCATATCACCAGCATTCTTCAGCAAAAGTAACATTAGATTCTTGCAAATAATCCATAGCAACACAAGAAAGCCAAATCAGATAATGCTATTCATAGCACTTATCAAACTTGAAAGTTTGTGCGGTCTCAATTCTTGCAAGCTAGAAGTAAGGCAGGAATGAGAAAGGGATAGAGGGAGAAAGGAAACCCATGCTATGTTCACAAACCAGTACAGTTGCAGGAACTTGAAAACACTGTAAAATTTACTTTTACCAATATAGCTTCTTTGGAATGAATAGAAGGTACCAGAATTAGCTTCTTTTGCTATTTTAACACTTTTTTCATTCCTAAGGTTTAAAAATGAATTCCAACTACACTGAAAATTTATAGTCTATATATAAAGAATCTGAACATAGCATTTCACTTTTATATTTGACCTGGAAATTTTAGTTAGAAACATTTCTAAAAACTTTTAAAATATATACTGTTAAAAAACAACTACAAAAGTTCAAAAATAATCAAAGCCCAAGTACAAACCACATGCACTACTTGGAAGTACTAAAATCACTCAGTTTCCACTGTTGATTTACCCCATGTCTTCAGAAATCAAAAACATCGTCATCATCATCACCACCATCAACATCATCAAATGACCAATCCCAGTCTTTAAATGCCAAATCAAGCAATCTGCAACAGGAGTTTTTGCAAGTTTACACTCTAACACTCTTTATAAACCACAGTTTAATGCCATGCCTAGAAATCAAACTTTGAAGGTATGAAGGTTCTGTAGGCATTTTAACATTCCCTGTATCAGTAATGTGATAAGAAGAAAGATGGGAGCATCTAGGAAACATTTTTTCTTTATATGAAAGTGTATACAGTCACACTGGCCAGGTACACTTTTCAGAATACCAGAGAACTGAAGACAAGGACAATATTGGGGTTAAAAAAACACAATGAGCTTTCTCCTCACATCCCAACTGCCCAGAGAAAGATGTAATCACCTAAATCCTCAAGGAGCTATTGTCATAATGTTCTTTTCATAGTACCTGGATAATCAGCTCATGGACCAAACCCAAGAAGGGAGAATAGGAGAAGAGTCAATTACAGCAAGACCTCCTGCCCAGTGAGTCAACAGCTATGCTTAATATAGGAAAACTAGGCACAAAGGAACAGCTATATATATGAAAGCAGCCCTGGCAACTTATCCTGGCTACATAAATCACACTCTGTGTTGGGTACTTGGGTTTCTTTTCATTCCGATAAGCCATACTGTAACGTAGTGCAGCAATGACCTTTATGAGAACTAGAAGCAACCTTTCTTTGTGTATAGCTTAGATGTTGGTGAATCAGACTTTGTCAAGGAACTCATCTGGTCCCAGAAGTTCCACCTCGCCACGTCAGTGGCTCTGTGCAGTGCGTATTCCTAGACTTCAGCCTGGGTTCTCCATATGATTGGACAGAAGTATTTGCATTTTTTTTTTTACTTATGTTTTTTAACAGTACTAGGTGTGAACTCAGGTTGGAGCCTTGCTCTTACTGGAGGAGTAAAGGGAAGAGTTGGGAAGAGGAAGGGGTAATTGGTACGAGTGAGTTGCTGGCTAATTTATCCTAAATAAACCTCTAACTATTTTCAGAACGTAATGAACACCTGAGAGACTGAGATTAGTAGGCTTTCTGGGAGACTTTAGTATCTCCTAGCTTTCAAAAATCTTTGAATGTATATTAGTGTCATCATCTTACAAGTCCATTCATGGATAGGCTGGGAAGATGGCTTAGTGGTAGAGTGCTTGCCTAGCATTCAGCAAGTCTTGGCTTCGATTCCTCGTACCACATAAGCAGAAAAAGCCAGAAGTGGCGCTGTGGCTCAAGTGGTAGAGCACTAGCCATGAGCAAAAGAAGCTCAGGGACAGCGCCCAGGCCCAGAGTTCACACCCCAGGGCTGGCAAAAAAAAAAAAAAAAAAAAAAAGTCCATTCACAGGGTTACCACTGTAACCCACAAGACTTCTCTTAAAACCTCTCCTTTTATTCACTCACCTAATTCTGGTTATTCCAACCTAGAAAATCTTTATGAATATAGATCTCCCCGCCCCTTAACTTTAAGTGTCATTACTCAGTTCAGGTGTTCATGAAGTCTGAACATACAATCCCTCACTGAAAGATCTGCCTGTGAACAAACTGTAGCTGGTCCTTCTCAGCCAGGCTCCCACCTTCCCCTCTAGTCATCCTCTCCAACCTCAGCACCACAATGAATACAAACACTGGAGCTAGTGCTGTTCCATGTGACATCCTGCCTGAATCTGTCTTCTCCCTTATTTCTGATTCTCCATGCTTGATGATGTCTTAGGCAGAATTCTCCTCTTTTTTTTTCCTTTCCCCTTCAATACTGTGTTCATAACGCTATCATAAACAACAGTTTACAGAGTACTATGTCTCTTCTACTAATGGATCAATATATCCCTTCAAGCCATGACACTGCCAAAAAAATGCATCAAAATAGGTGCATCTGAGTCCTACTAGCAGCCAAACATGAGGGTGTCCATTTCTGTCTTGCCATTACTAATTTTCATTGCTGTCAGTTTCATTTATATTATATGTTATAGTTTCATTTTTTGCATAATAATCAGGGCAATTGCCTTTTTATGTTTAAGAGCTATTTCAATGGCAATGCCTGTATGGGCCTCACTAATTTTGTATTTGCATGATGTAATATTCTTTCTCTAACAGTTTACAAAAGAAGTGTCTCTTTTACCCTTAGTGCTAGAGACTGAAAGCACGATCTTTTACAGGTTAGGCAAGAACTCTACCATAGAATTATATCCCCGATCCATAAAAAGCTTTTATATACAAAGATACTACCCATACCCACTGCATCTTTCTCATAAGATACAATGGTTGTATACTGCAGATACATGGTGCTTTCAATTTTCAGGGCTATAATTCTGGGTAGTCTGACTTCAATAGTGCTCCCACCCTGACTCCTGGCCGCCCCTTTTGTTTACTGGGCTTCAACTCATGGCCTTGCACTCTTCACTTGGCTTTCTCATTCAAGGCTGGTACTTAATCACTTGAGCGACACTTCCAGTCTGGTATGTTTCTGGTTAATTGGAGAAAGAAATCTCACAGATCTGCCCGCCTCCTCTGGCCTGAGCCTGGATGTTCATTCAGATTAAGCTTCTTGAGTAGCTAGGATTATAGACTTAAGCAACCACTAGAGCCCTGCTTATGTTCTTTGCAAATTTCCTCCAATCCAAGGAGGAAATTATTTTCTTCTTCACTTATTTTTTTCTTCATTTCTGACTTGTAACGCTTTAAGTTCTATATAACTTTATTATTTTCCCCTCATAGTGTGTTAACCTTCTATAATTTAGAAATGGAGAATAGAATTAAAAGCAATTCTGATGGTTTATTGGAATTAAGAGTCTCAAAAAAGCCAGGTGCTGGTGGCTCAAGCTTGCAATCCTACCTACTCCGGAGGCTGAGATCTGAGGATCGCAGTTCAAAGCCAGCCTGGGCAAGAAAGTCCATGGGACTCCAGTTAACTAACAGGAAACCAGAAGTGGTGCTGTGGCTCAAGTGGTAGAATGCTAATCTTGAGTGAAAAAGCACAGGAACAGAGCCCAGGCCCTGAGTTCAAGCCCCACGAGAGAGAGAGAGAGAGAGAGAGAGAGAGAGAGAGAGAGAGAGAGAGAGAGAGAGAGAAGAGTGTATAGATGCCCTTTAGCCACATGAGCATTTTGTAAATTGTAGTAAAAAAAAATAAAGACCTCTCTAAGCTGTTTTCATCAAAAGTTAGCATTTCACTGACAAATGTTCTACTTTTTCAGCATACTATCTAAACTTTAATTCCAATTCAGCAAGGTAACAGTAGGGAGAAATGGAAAAAAAAGAATTTCCTGCTCCTACATAGGAAATGAGGGTTAAACACTCCCTTAAGTTGTGGGCTCTCAAAGTAACTGTCTGGAGCCCAGACTCATGGCTCTGCTGCTCCCTACTATGTGTGTGGCTGGGGTTTCTGTGCCTTAGTTTTCTCAGAGCAGTTCTGAGGACAAGTATATAATAAAGCTAACACTCTCCAAAAAGGGTCCAGCAGATAATAACTCAAAAATGTTAGCTGGGTGCTGGTGCCTAGCTACTCAGAAGTCTAAGATCTGTACATCAAGGTTCAAAGCCAGTAGACACAGGAAAAGTCTGTGGGATTTATCCCCAATAAACCACCAAGAAGCCAGAAATGGAGCTGTGGTTCAATTGGTAGAGCATTAGCCTCAAGGACAAGAACTTAAGGATAGTACCCAGGCCCCAAGTTGAAGCCTCAGTATTGGCTCAATAATACATAATAATAACATGTAAAAATGGCAATAAAAAATTATTTGAAGAGCAGGACCAGAAGAAAAAAAAAAAGACAAAATCACAAGTAAATGTGCTCTTTGAACACATCATGAAAACAGAACGTTACAGCACTGAAAGATGACTTGGTCTGAAAAAACTAACTCAATGTGTCACGACATAGTAAAACCATTAACTTATATCAAAAGGACTAATGTGCATGTGTGTATGTAAATATATGTATATGTGTATGTACGGAATATATGTATTATAAGATACACTATATGTATTACATGTTTATTTGGTCTTTTTGAGACAAAGTCTTACTATGCAGTCCAGCTGGCTTTGAACTCTCGATCCTTCTGCCTCAGCTTCCCAAGTACTGGGATTACCCTTTTGGACCCTTAATCAAAAACAGTTAACGGGCTGGGAAGGCGGCTTGGTGGTAGAGTGCTTGCCTAGCATGCATGAGGCCTTGAGTTCAATTCCTCTGTACCACATAAACAAAAAACAAAATTAATAAAATTAAAAAGAAAAAAATAACACTGAAAATTATTGTTTTTTAAAGTTGAAAGAAAATTTAACAGAAGAATGTTTGTAAACACTGTGGAAACTGATGTTTTTGCTACTACATTTGGAAGCACTCATTACAAAGTGCTATGGTTGAATGTGTCCCTCAAGTTTCCACGCTGGGAACCTAACCCCATGTCCAAAGCCAGTGGCATTAGCAAGGTGGGCCCTGTGGTAGGTGGCCGTGGATTCACACAGGCCCCGGAAGGGAGGCAGTTACAAGAGCATGCGCTCTGGCATGCTGAACATCAGTGAGGCCTTCTGCCCTGCTCTGAGGCAGCGTGAGGCCCTCACGGGAGGCTGGGCTTGTGCTCTTGGGCTTCCCAGCCTCCAGAGGTTCTGGAAGCTTGCGCTCCCCAGCCCTCTCTTCTTGCTAACCTCCTGTCTGTGGTACTATCAGTTATAGAAGACTTAAAAATATCCAAAAAGCTTTTATGCATTGTTGTATAACGGAAACTTAGTTTTCAGCTGTTTTATACAAGGCATCAAAATGGCCTTCAGGGTCTGTGAATTCTTATAGCTTTTTAAAAGAATTACTTACTTAATTACTACCATGTAATCACTATTTTATAATATTTAGTTTTATCATACCTCACTTAAAATAGTCAACATTTTCATTGCTGAAACACCAATTCTACCTTTGTCATCCTAAATTATCTCCTTGAGATATTAATTTCAAGATACTGTGGTTAGAGAAAGATTTCTGACAATACAGCCAATGCACATCATTATTCATATACTGAAGGTCCTGTGTTAGGGAAAAAAGGATATGCGGAATTAGACACCTGATCTAAATATATGCTTTTTACTTTAAGCTAACCTCTAATCCCTCAAGTTCGAAGAATAATAATGACTGTAAAAGCTGTAGCCGCTTCAGCCAATAGCTACTTAATTAAATGGCTCTATCAGAGTGTTTCTGGGCATAATGATCATTCTGACCCTCCTCCATATTCCTAACTCTACCTCTATCCTAAGGAATGCCCGCTTACTGTTAACATTTGTATTTTAAAACTGTCTGTTGATCTTTAAGCTACAAACCCAGATATTATTTTAAACTTATAGATATAATTTAATTCTCCCTCCCAAGCCCCTTACCATAAAACATCTGCACTATGTATTAGGTGAGTGCATTTACCAGACAGCTGAAGGGCTTCATGCAGTGATGATGCTTCTCAAAGCACTGCAGTAGTCCATTTTTACTAAAGCTGAAGATCATGACTGCATGCAAAATGCCACACAAACCAACCTTTCCCTAAGTTTTAGCTGAATTTGATGCCCTTGGGCGATTTATAAAATACGTCTTTCATCCAAATTAGATATGCAGTCTGAATTTAAGGTATTTGTTATACCATGGTTCTTTATAGTACCAAGCAAAGCAAAACTGCAACTAGGAAAGTTTATAGTTTAGACCGAAAAGCTGAAGTGAAGGAAGAACTTTAATTTTTACCATATTTTGTATTTATTACCTTGGTTTGTTTGGAGCAAGCTGTCGACTTGGCCGTCTGATAGACTGATTCTGTTGTATCTTCATTGAAGTTCTAGGAGATGACCGTGCAAAAGGGTCTGGAGCTGGGGGCTTTTTAGGTATTTTTTTCACCAACCGACTAACCCACTTCTGCTGTTCTTCCGTAGAATTTGCTAATAACAATAGATTCTTTGCCGTTGATATATCATAATACACTGTAAAGAAATTTTGAATAAGTTAATGCGCTTAACACGACCTGAACACAGGTATTAATGATCAAGTACTTTCCTGCTTACCTTTACATGGTGCTATAATCTCCTCCTTTTTGTCCATGTGGTCTTTATGACACTTAATGTGGCAGCGACGGCACTCTAAAGCAGGAGGGGGCTTAAACATGTGCCACAGTGGCTTCATACAAGCCTCACAGTTGGTTGGGAAATGATAAAGAGTAGGAATAAATTCATGTCCTTTGTGGCAAATATAGTTAGATTTTTCTCCCACTGGCTCCACTGGAAATTCTTGTTCCTTCTTACTTTCTCCTTCATTGGCATACAGAATCTATCAATACCAAAAAGATCAAAGTTATTTTTGTGTAGTGACAGTAAATAAAATAACGTTAGCTTAAATTGCCCAGTAAGAAGAAAATGCATTTGAAGATCAATCCTAAACTAGTTTGCCTAGTCATGAGCTGGTGTGAGCTGAGGGTATGTTCAGTGGAAGACTGCTTACCTAGAGTGCACAAGGTCCCAAGTGTGACCCCCAAAAGAGTTCAAGGGAGAAACATCATCATATAGTCCTTTTGCTTCACATTTCAAAGAAATAAATACTACTGGGTGATGGTACTCAGGAGGCTGAGATCTGAGAATCCCAGTTTGAAGTCAGCCAGGACTGGAAGACACTCTTATCATCTTATTAACCTCCAAAAAGCTGGAAGTAGAGCTGTGGCTCAGGCAGAAGAGTGCTAGCTTGAAGCAAAAATACTCAGGAACATGTTCATGCCCAGGCCTTAAGTTCAAGCCCTGGGACAGGCATACACACACAAAAAGATTCCAGCCAATGCTATCTCATTATTCTCTCTATAATACCTTTGTTTTAGCATAACTATTGTAAAAACAGGCCAGCAAAAGTTGAAACTCTTCATAAAGTGTTTTTCCTCCTCTAGAAAGGGACTGTTCAAAATAATCACCTGGAGAAGGGGGGGGGGGGGGGCGGCGGGGGGAGGGGATGTTAGTGGTAGACTGAGTACTGGCGGTTTAATTCCCAAAGGTCCTTGAACCCCAACAACAACAAAAACAACAAAAAGTAATAATCTAGAGAAATAGGGCAATTACATGAATTGATGCTTTATACCTTTTTATTTAAGGAGAAAAGATTTATTATGGCTCATAGTATCAGAGGTTTCAATCTATTGTGGTGAGGAAGACATGACAGACAAGCTAGGGATAATGTGTTGGCTAGGGAAAGAAGGAGGGAGGGAGCAAGAGGGAGGGGAGAGAGGAGGAAGGGGAGAGAAGAACAAGGACTCACCTCCAGCTGAAACCTATACATACTTCCTCCAGCTGAAACCCAACCTTTCCTGAACCTCCCAAACCAACAGCAAACAGTGTAAATAATTAAGAAATGACCCCCCCTCCCGACTCATGTGCTCAATTCTAAGTACCCAGTTGGTAGAACTATTTTGTGAGGTTCTAAAAAACCTTTGGAGAGTTTTACACAAAACTTGATGATAGACGATTGCTGGTGGCTCACGCCTGTAATCCTAGCTACTCAGGAGGCTGAGATCCGAGGATCACAGTTCAAAGCCAGCCCGGGCAGGGAAGTCTATGAGGCTCTTATCTCCAATAAACCACCAGAAAACTGAAAGTGGTGCTCTGGCTCAAGTGGTAGAGTGCCTGCCTTGGGCTGAAGAGCTGAGGGACAGCGCCCAGGACCAAAGTTCAAGCCCCACAACCGACAAACAAAACAAAACAAAAACAACAACTTGATGACAGATAGATGCACAGCTTCATTTTAAAAGATGTGTGTGGAAAGCCAGGTACCAGTGACTCACACCTATTATAATCCTAGCTATCTGGGAGGCTGAGATTTGAGGATCACAGTTCGAAGCCAGCTCGGGCAGGAAAGTCTGTAAGATTCATTTCCAATTAAGCACCAAAAAGAATGCCAGAAGTAAAAAGGCAATTTGAACAGAGCTAATGGGAAAGGAATGGGATTGTGCTACAACACTTGACAACATCCAAGGATGAAAAATCAGAAGGGAACAATGTTTACCTGGAAGATCCTCGGGATTTCCTTAGCATCTGCTCTATATACATCTGTCTGCGTAACTGGTCGGACGTGAAATAGCTTGCTATATTAATAAAAGAACAAAATATTACCCAAGGATCATAAGTACTTGAGTTAATATTATATTTATATTGGAAGTATATACGGAATACTTTGGCCCATGTTAGAAGCTCCTATAATATCTTGAGTTAATTCAAACATGACTTTAAGATTGTCACATATTTCCAATAAGTCACATTTTCTAATTAGTATCCGAAAATAGTAGATTAAAGACCCAGGAGATGAAGATGTTTTGGGTACTGACTGTACATCCCTAACTTCCATCACAGATCATAGGATGTATTACTGTACAACAGGTTCTAGACTGTGATTTCTTTATAACCAACAACACACTGACAAACTAGACAGAAAAGATCAGCTCCTCTCTTATCAGAATTTTAAAAAGACAAGAAAAGGTAAGAGTCTAAATATTCTAGTAAAAGCACTTACTCTATATCTAAAACCATGTAAGGATTAGATTGCTCTTTATCTTGTTCACTGTCATAGAAAAGAATCTTCTTACTGCTTACAATCACATACTGTTAAAAAGATGGAAGGAAAGAATCAAACATTGAATACTTATTATATATCATATCTACTGATTTTCTTTCACAAGAAACCCATGTTAACAGTAAATATTTAGGTTAAGTAACTAAAAAGAACTAGTACAGCTATAGAAGTCTTCTGTAAGGTAATATTTGTATGTTGATCCACTTTTTGTTTGTGGGTATTTTAAATAAATAGGAGAAGGAAAATGAAATCAAATGTATTTTGGACTGATTTAGCTTCTGGAGAAAATAAATAGTATCCTTATAAGAAATGTACACAGTAACATCAAAAGCACCATTGTCAACAGCCTTTATGTACTTCACTCTAAAATACATTTCATTATTAACAACACATAAAAATACAGATTTTTTTCACATAGTAAAATTATATCCTTCCAAATCATAGAATAAGGCTTGTTTATATATCTAAAATTGTAGGCACGTATTTCCTAAAACTCCAAAAAGTGAAATAGCTGGAGTTAAACCACAAGTAAAAAGAAAAAGGGAAAGAGATAAGAGAAAATGGGAAAGAAAGAGAGGGAAAAAAAAAAGAGAGAACCATATTTTAAAAGACCAATTACCTTTTTAACCCATCCAAATTTCTTAGTGTTGTTTCGCACAGGTAAAGACAGCCATCCTTCTAATCTTGATTCTATAAACCAGCATAGATAAGAAAATAAATATAATCATTCTCCTCAGACAATGAAGAATAAAATCTTAATAAAGAATTCACAAAACCAATCAAGCACACTCTTCATCATTTATCACCATCTGTTCTCTAAGACACAACAGTAATAAAGCAGGATCAGCAGAAGCACGGTATACAATGCAAAACAAAATCCAGGTATAACCACACTGGAAATAAATTAAGCTGTATTATAAAGTTAAATGTCCTATTGGATAAATTCATGCACTGACCAAAGAAAACTTACAAAGTAACAACAGAAAAGGTGCAGAGTAACAACAAAACTTCTATTCTCACTAGTTTATCTGCTGTGGAAGCCTTTACTTTTTCTGCTTACAGATATAATGCAAAGTTTTAAGAAGAAGATACTATTGTGTTTAGAGAATATGGAATTTCAGAATGGCTATGCTCCAATGATATAAAAAATGGTATAAATTAATGCTCAAACCTGTTTAACAATCAACAATATAACCAAAATGTTTCTGAACTCCAATATACCAAAATCTGCAGAACTCTAGTTTTGTAAAGGAAAGTATCTAAGTCTTTAGACTGTTTTACTATATTTGATTAGTATCTTTTAATGAAATAAGTAGAATGGCATTTTGAGAGGTTATTCCACTAATAAAAGTGGTTATTAATTATTCAACATCTATTTATGCTAACTATATTAAAACTTTACATAAATTTTCTACAACCCTCACAATGTGAATTACATGCCTAATTTAGGGAGGAAACTGAAGTTGGAAGAAATTTCATATAGAGTTGTCTTTCTAACTTAAAAAGAAACCCTTGAATTTCTTCATTTCAACTGCAAAGTCTGTTCAGGCTAAGACTCAGGCTGAATTGTTTCATGTCCTTGTTTGAGGTCTAGTATATCATGTGCAACTGGTAAGTACTCAATGAAATGTAATCATATTCTCTGAAGTAGTCTACATGGTTTTTTCCTGTACTGTTAGGAAAATTCAAAAGAATGTCCTATTTAAAAATGGATGACACTGTGCCACCCAAGTGTTTCCTACCAACTGTGAGGTCCTGGGTCCAATCCCCAGTACTGCCAAAACACACACACACGAAAGAAAGAAAGAAAGGAAAGGAAAGGAAAGGGAAGGAAGGAAGGAAGGAAGGAAGGAAAGAAGGAAGGAAGGAAGGAAGGAAGGAAGGAAAAGGAGGAGGAAGGAGGAGGAGGAAGAAGGAAGGAAGGAAGGAAGGAAGGAAGGAAGGAAGGAAGGAAGGAAGGAAGGAAGGAAGGAAGGAAGGAAGGAAGGAAGGAAGGAAGGAAGGAAAGAAGGAAGGAAGGAAGGAAGGAAGGAAGGAAGGAAGGAAGAAGGGAGGGAAAGGGGGAGGGAAGGAGAGAGGGAGGATTAAAAAACATACATTTGTAAGTGATATGATGTATTATTCCATTTCTTTGAAGTTGGCAAAATCAATGGCCTATCTTTTTTTTTTTTTGGTCAGTCCTGGGCATGAACTCATGGCCTGGACACTGTCCCTGAGCTTCTTTTGCTCAAGGCTAGCACTCTACCCGTTGAGCCACAACACCACTTCCAGCTTCATGCATGCTAGGCAAACACTCTACCACTAAACCACATTCCCAGCCCATGGCCTATCAATTATAATAGCAGTGCCATAAGAAAACTTTTTTTTTTTGTATAGCAATATATTTCTAATGAGTTAAAAATAGTCAATCTACATCAACATGTCAGGGTTAGTAAATATTAGTTATTGTTAAAAAAATTCAGAAGGACTAAAATTACAGGCAGTGGGGAAAACTCCAAAGACAAAGAGTTTTTGAGGATATCACCTGTACCATTAGGTTCCGGAGAAATGGGTAAGTAAGACAAAGATTCTTCTTCTGAGTCAGAGTCAGAGTCAGAGTGAAGGAGCATGTGAGAACTGGAAGGCTTAGTGGCAATATTGAGAGAAGTAGAGGAACGCCGGTAGGTGAATGACATGGATTCCATAGTGTGTGATTGAGTAATATGAACTTAACACCCAACATACAAGGAAGTAAGATGCAGAAAGAAGAGAAAATAAAACAAAAGCTTAAAAAGAAAGTGACTATATAACATACAATGAGTTAAGTATCTAAATATGGAGCTTGTTTGCGTTATTAATGTAAAATACTGTCAAAAAAATCAATGCATAACAAGTCTAAAATATTACTTGAAGAACCCACTCCAAAAAGTAGGTTTTTCTTTAAAGAAATGACATTTTTGCCTCAAAAGCAGTCGAGTGCAAAACTTAAGACAATCAGCCGATATCCATTTAAGAGAAATGTAGGGACTGAAAGAATCTGTACCTGGAAACCCATCATCAGCATCTGCATCTCCTGGGCCACTGCCAGTACTGGAGCTGTCCAAGTGCAAGGCCTGGAGCTGGGAGCGCAGCTGCTCAATGTCACTGTCCTTAGAGTCCAGCGTCATCTGCAGTTCAATTCGAATCTGGCTCTCTTCAGCTATTTGCTACAAAAAATTAAATCAAATTAACTGGATGAGATTTGTCTCATCTTGTTTCAGTAATTAAAAGAAATGTCCTGATACCAAATACCCACAAACATGAAAATAGTTCTATTTCTTCAATTATAAAAATACAAATACAAAATAATTTTAAAAAGTTTGGGTCCCCAAAGAATTCTTACAGCCTGCATTTCATTCAGTTCTTTCTGATACTTGATCATCTGTTGGGTCAGTTTTTCACGTTCAGATTTAAGCTCCATATGTAGCTTTCTATTCTCCTTCTCTTTTCTTCGTACATCTGTGTCACTGCCACGCTTGACAGGTTCTTTTCGATTCATGATTTCAGCCAATTTATTCACAGCCTTAAAAATGTAAACATAAGTAAAGTATAAGTAACATGATTATGCTGATGGTTTCTCAGTAACTCACTAACTACAGGTTACAGAACCACGAATAATCTCCTTCCTATATACAAGGCTACAAAGAAAACTTTCCACATTATTTTAAAAAACTTCCTTCTCCATTCCGTAACTCTTAGTTTTTCATTTTCATCATTTCTCTAATTGTGAAAAGGGGCCACACGCTGCCAGTCAGCAAACCCTGCTCCGATGTGTAGTGCTAGAGTAAGACGGGAGAGGAGAGCGCATCTGGGCTGGCCACTCGCTGACAGTCAGCAAACCCTGCTCCGATGTGTAGTGCTAGAGTAAGACGGGAGAGGAGAGCGCATCTGGGCTGGGCACCGTACCTGCGTCTTGAGCGTCCTCTCTGTCAGCAGCTGCTTCTCAAACTGCGCTTTAATGGCTGCGGCACTGATCTCCTCATCTTTCAGTCGTGACAGTTCTGAAACAAATGCAAAACACAAACATCACACTGACACTACAGCAAGTAACAGGAATAGCGAAGTGAAAAATAAACTTGTCTTTGTTAATACATACGTTCTTGAGCATCTTTCAATTTGTTGTTTAATTCTTCTTTCTCATTTGCAAGATTAGCAACATCACTAGTTAGTGTCCTATTCGTTTCTTCAAGCTAAGAAATGAAAGTGAAGAAAATATCTCAACTTACCAAAATAAAGTCATAAAACAGTAAAGGAAACAAAATCCTAGCATGTTGGCAAGTCTCATTTTCTAAGTCTGCCCTCTCCTTTCCTACCCCTGTGCTCCCTTACCCACTCTGCCTCTCATGAAACATCTGCTCACCATAACACACTGCACATGTACCCCAGGGAAACTAAAAACTTGCCCTTCTCTAACAAATCCTTAGCAGTTTTCTTAAAGAATGAAAAAACTACTTAGTGAATTAATAGAAGGAGCCACAAAGCCCTTCAGTCTACTACATGTAATAAATTTGAAAATTGTAGAATTTATTTCAGGACATTAGTTTAAAACGGAAGATAAAAATTATACAAAGAGGTCAGGCACCGGTGGCCCATGCCTGGAATCCTAGCTACTCAGGAGGCTGAAATCTGATGATCACTATTCAAAGACAACTCGGGCAAGAAAGTCCAGGAGAGTCTTATTTCTGATTCAGCATAAGAAAAACCAGAAGCTGTGGCTCAAAGTAGTAGAGTGCTAGCCTTAAGCAAAAAAGCTCAGGTACAGCAGACCAGGACCTGAGTTTAAACCCCATGACCAAAAACAAAAGAAAAACCCACATACTAAATCTATGTAAATCTATGTCCCTTCCCAGTACATGAAGTGGTTTGTATACTGTCACTTCCACCACATATTAAGTTCTTGCCAGCAGATGAATCTTTGGCTATTATTAATTTCCACTGAGAAGAATCAGATTACCCTGTTCTAACACCTCTAGCATTTCAATAGGTCAGCATAATTGATAGCATAAACCCAACTATTTGGTATTTTATTTTTCTTTGGGAAATTAATGGCTGTTTGGATTAAAAATCTGGTAGTCAGCACAAGTTTTCATTCAGATTCATGACAATATTTTAGTGATTCTAGTGATTCTATCTATATATGTGGGTTGTTTTTTTTTTTTTTTTTGTCAGTCGTGGGGCCTGAACTCTGGGCCTGGGCACTGTCCCTCAGCTCTTTAGCTCAAGGCTAGTGCTCTACCACTTGAGCCACAGTGCCACCTCTAGCTTTTTCTTTTTTGGGTCTGGTCATGGGGCCTGAACTCTGGGCCTGGGTGCTGTCTCTCAGCTCTTCAGCTCAAGGCTAGCACTCTACCACTTGAGCCATAGCGCCACTTCCGGCTTTTTTCTTTTTGCTTATGTGGTGCTAAGGAATCGAACCCAGGGCCTCATGCATGCAAGGCAAGTGCTCTGCCACTGAGCCACCTTCCCAGCCCCAGTGATTCTATATATGATACAGCAATTCAATTAAAATCCAAAAAGTACCAAGAATTTTACTTACAGATGCAATAGTAGCATCTTTTTCAGTAAGTTCTTGTTTATGTCTAGCCATCATCTCTTTGATCTCTAGTTCCTTCATGATTTTTTCCTTTTCCAAATCAGAATACTGTTCTTCAGCAATTGAACGAGCCAGCTGCTCAGAATCTGCTTTGGTTAATGTTATCTCCAGCTGGGCAGCCAAGGAGTCCCTGTATTTTAGAAAGACAACTTTAAAACATTAAAAAGAATTCTTTTTTTGTGATGAAGATTGAACATGCATGCTAAACTCACACTCTGTCACTGAGTAAATCTCCAGTCTCGTTAGAGATAAACCATTTTCATACACAGTTTTTGCTATGAGTAAGTTTTTGTCAGAAGAATGATGGAAGGAATAACATTAATCAAGATGCACTGTACTTTACATCTAAACTCATTTGTTGAATTGAAACCCCTTTGTATACCTTCTTATAAATAATTTTAAAAAATTCTTTGAGCTCAAAACAAGTAAGAATTTTTGTCTTCTTGACTTCATCAGTTCATTGATACTTCATAACTAGCAGCACTGTTCTAGAGGCATGTGTCTATGAAGACAAGACAGGGGTCTTTTCCTTACCTTTCATCCTGTAATTCCTGTTTCTTCTGCTGTAACTCTTTACACAGTTTAGTCTTTTCTTCACTTTCCTCCTTAAGTTCTCTAACTTGTGTTTTATAGAGTGTCTAAAAAGGAAAATACAACAGGAATGTGTATCAGTGTAATAAAGAACATTATTTATACATTTAAAACTTACCCAGATTAAAAAAAAAAAGGAAAACTTACCCAGATAAAAATGGAATGTGCCCAAATATTTTATTTTATTTTATTTTTTTGGGTCCGGTCATGGGGCCTGAACTCTGGGCCTGGGCGCTGTCCCTCAGCTCTTCAGCTCAAGGCTAGCACTCTACCACTTGAGCCACAGTGCCACTTCCGGCTTTTTTCTTTTTGCTTATGTGGTGCTGAGGAATCGAACCCAGGGCCTCAGGCTTGCAAGGCAAGCGCTCTACCACTGAGCCACCTTCCCAGCCCCTGCCCAAATATTTCAATGTTGAATAATGTTGGACTCCTTGCCAAATTAATAGGTTAGTGGGCTTTCTTATTTTCTAGTCATCCACTGATAAACTAATGAAAGTTCAACTAGCAGTTTGCAGTGTAACTTAGTAGTAGAGTACAAGCTTAGCATGCATGGAGCCCTAGATTTAGACCCTAGCACACCCTATTCCCTAATATAAAAGCATGATTTAGACTGTATATTATAGTAATATTTCTTTTTAAAAAAACAGCACCAGGGCTGGGAAGGTGGCTCAGTGGTAGAGCGCTTGCCTTGCATGCATGAGGCCCTGGGTTCGATTCCTCAGCACCACATACACAAAAAGAAAAAAGCCAGAAGTGGCACTGTGGCTCAAAGTGATAGAGCGCTTGCCTTGAGCTGAAGAGCTGAGGGACAGTGCCCAGGCCCCATGACCGGACCCAAAAAAAACCCAAAAAAACAAAAAACCCCCAAAACAGCACCAGTTGATAGAAAGATAATTATTAGCAAAAAGAATTTTGCTGACTTAAATGAATGAAAAGGAGGTGATAATATCTACTTGATTTTTATTTTTATTTTTTTTCCAATTAGATTTTATTTTTTTTACATTGAATATCAAGCAACTTTATTAGGTTAATATGTTTATTTCTCAAAAACACTCCATAAGATGAAAATTTTACTTCTTTTAACAAATAAAGAAAATATTGTTTAGAAAGAGTGATCTAATTTCCCTCAGGGTCAGACTGCTCCTGCATGATACAATGTGGATTGAGATTCAACTGTAAGTCTGAAATGAGTATCTTTGTTCTATCACAGATTCGTAACATTGTCGTAAGTCACCTACTGTACTTCCTGACTTTTTCACAGCATTTCTTCCTACATGTTCTTCATTCTTAACTTTATATACACAAAACCTGTATGCTTTCATATTCCTTTAATCACCTGTTACCTTCTTTCTCCGCTTCAGTACCCACTGACTGGGTTGCTCCTATTTTTAACTCCATGACATTTCTACTTCATCTTTAAAAACTGATCTCAAAGAGGTATATTAAAATGACAATTTTATTTCTTTCTATTATGAAAACATTATTCCTCAAAAGCAATGCTTTTTTTGGTCCGGTTGTGGGGCCTGAACTCTGGGCCTGGGCGCTGTCCCTCAGCTCTTCAGCTCAAGGCTAGTGCCCTACCACTTGAGCCACAGCGCCACTTCCGGCTTTTTTTTTTCTTTTTGCTTATGTGGTGCTGAGGAATCGAACCCAGGGCCTCATGCATGCAAAGCAAGCGCTCTACCACTGAGCCAACTTTCCAGCCCCTACATTTTATTTTTTTTTGGGTCTAGTCGTGGGACCTGAACTCTGGGCCTGGGCGCTATCCCTCAGCTCTTCAGCTCAAGGCTAGAGCTCTACCACTTGAGCCACAGCGCCACTTCTGGCTTTTTTCTTTTTGCTTATGTGGTGCTGAGGAATCGAACCTAGGGCCTCATGCATGCAAGGCAAGCGCTCAACCACTGAGACACCTTCCCAGCCCAAAAGCAATGCTTTTAAACTAACTTTGAAGGCATGGTACAGTGTGTGTTGAGAATTATGTTTTTAGAGATGATAATTTTTGTTCTGAGATGGTACCTTGTAACATTGCCTAGGCTGGTCTCAAACTTGTAGGCTCAAGTGATTCTTCCACCTTTGACTATAATACAGGCACTTTGTAGTATAATACAGGCATTTTACCACTTAAGCCATGCTTCCAGCCTACACAGTACTTTTATTATGAGTTATATGATACAACATGTCCCATACAAAACATTCTAGTGTTTACTATAACAATCTATTTAAAGACAATCATCCTTTTAGTTGTACAGAAAGAATTTTAAAAAATTCTACAAATATAGCAATTTCCAAATTAATGTGTCTGAAACTTACTGAGAAATACTGCTCTGCTTCAAGCTGATCCTGGAGCTCTTTCATTTGCCCATCTGCATCCTGGCGCTCTCTATGAAGACAATGAATCAAGTAAGTGTTGTGAGCAGTCACTGTAGTAAAACAGTTTGGGGAACACTTGTGGTCTTTTCAAAAAAATCTGTGAGGACAAATCATTCTCATGCTGATATAAAGTGAATCTCTGCTTTTTAAAACTCTCACTCCTGCCAGGCACCAGTGGCTCATGCCTGTAATCCTAGCTACTCAGGAGCCTCAGATCTGAAGATCACGGTTCAAAGCCAGTCTGGGCAGGAAAGTCAGTGAGACTCTTTTCCCCAGTAAACCACCAGAAAACCAGAAGTGGCACTGTGGCTCAAGTGGTAGAGTGCTTGCTTTGAGCTGAAGAGCTCAGGGATAGCACCTAGGCCCAGAGTTCAAGCCCCATGACAAGGAAAAAAACAAAACAAAACAAAACAAAAAACCAAACAAACAAAAACTGTCACTCCTAGCCAGAAGCCAGTAGCTCATACCTGTAAAATCCTAGCTACTCATGAGGCTGAAATCTGAGAATCATAGTTGAAGCCAACTAGCAGGAAAGTCTATGCTCTTCTTATTTCCAATTAACTACCAAAAACCACCACCCCAAATAAACAACAACAACAACAAAAGTGGAGCTCTGGCTCAAGTGGTAGAGTACCAACCTGTATCAAAAGAAGCTCAGGGACAGCACTCAGACCAAATTCAAACCCCAGAAACAGGACAAAAATAAGAAAGACAAAAAAAGAAAACCTGACACTCCTTCACTATTGCATATGGACTTTTTCTTAGACTCTCTGACATATGTAATGAATAAGCTAATAAAATGTGTGCTTGTCATTTATAAGATTATTTCTTTGTTGCTTTGTATGCCCCTCCCTCACGGTATAACCCCTGCTTTCACTGTATTTGATGTCAGTATAATTTGTGGAGGGGAAGGGGGAAAAACAACTAGTTTAAATAGAGATACAGGTAGACCCATTACAACAATGAGATGTACAAGTTGTTATGTCGAAAACAAACTTTACAACTTTGGTGCGAGGGGTGGGGGGGAGGACGAGAAGGGGAAACAAAGGAGGAGGCTACAATGCTTGATAAGAAATGTACTCATTCGACAAGATCCAACACCCCTTTATGATGAAGGTTTTGGAAAAATTAGGAATCCATGGAACATTCCTCAATACAATAAAGGCTGTATATGACAAACCTACAGCCAGCATTATACTTAATGGTGAAAAACTAAAGCCATTTCCTCTTAACTCAGGAACAAGACAAGGATGTCCACTCTCTCCACGTCTCTTCAATCTAGTATTAGAATGCCTAGCTACAGCAATAAGACAAGATGCAGACATAAAGGGGATCCAAATAGGGAAAGAAGAAATAAAACTCTCTCTCTTTGCAGACGACATGATCTTGTTTTTAAAGAATCCCATAGACTCCACTCCCAAATTACTCAAGCTGATTCAAAACTTTGGCAAAGTAGCAGGGTATAAAATTAACGCCCAAATATCAATGGCCTTTCTGTATGCCAACAATGAGAAAAGTGTGGCTGAAATTAGGAAAGCAACTCCATTTGTAATAGCCCCACAAAAAATAAAATACCTAGGAATTAACTTAACTAAAGAAGTGAAGGACCTCTATGATGAAAACTTTAAAATCTTGAAAAAGGAAATCAACACAGAACTTAAAAAATGGCAAAACCTCCCATGCTCCTGGATTGGAAAGATTAACATCGTGAAAATGGCAATACTTCCAAAGGCTATCTACAAATTCAACGCAATACCTATCAAAATTCCAACCTCATTCTTCAAGGAAATAGAAGAAGCAATCCAAAAATTCATATGGAACAATAAAAGACCCCGAATAGCAAAAACGCTCTTCAATGGAAAGAACACTGCTGGAGGAATATCAATACCAAATTTCAAACTCTACTATAAAGCCATAGTAATCAAAACAGCTTGGTATTGGCATAAGAACAGACCTCAGGACCAATGGAATAGAATTGAAAACCCAGAAATGAACCTACAGACCTATAGCCATCTAATCTTCGATAAGGGAGCTAAAACAATAGAATGGAAGAAAGACAGCCTCTTCAGTAAATGGTGCTGGCAAAATTGGTTAACTACTTGTAGAAAACTAAAGCTAGATCCTTATATATCACCCTGCACCAGAATCAACTCCAAATGGATCGAAGACCTTGAACTCAAAGCAGACACTCTGAAAACATTACAGGATGGAATAGGAGAAACCCTAGGTCTCCTTGGCTCAGGCCGAAATTTTCTGAATAGAGACCCAGAAACACAACAAATCAAAGAAAGGTTGGACAAATGGGATTGCATAAAGTTGCAGAGCTTCTGCATGGCAAAGGACATAGCTAGCAAGATCAATAAAAAGCCCACAGATTGGGAGAAGATCTTTACTAGCCATACAACGGACAAGGGTCTCATATCTAAAATATACTTGGAACTCAAAAAATTAAATCACCCAACAACAAATCCTCAAAGAAACAACTGCCCAATAAACAAGTGGGCGAAAGACTTAAAGAGAAACTTCTCTGAAGAAGAAAGAAGGATGGCCAATAGACACATGAAGAAATGCTCAACCTCCCTAGCCATAAAAGAAATGCAAATCAAAACAACATTGAGATACCACCTCACTCCAGTTAGAATGGCAAAAATCAAGAACTCTAACAACAACAGATGCTGGAGGGGATGTGGACAGAAGGGAACCTTACTTCATTGTTGGTGGGAATGTAAACTTGTTCAACCACTTTGGAAAGCAGTATGGAGGTTCCTCAAAAGACTCCACATAGAACTCCCCTATGACCCAGCAATCCCACTTTTGGGCATTTACCCAAATGTTTACAAACAAGACCACACTAAAGCTACCAGCACAACTATGTTTATTGCAGCATCATTTACCATAGCTAAGATCTGGAACCAACCCAGATGGCCCCTCAGTAGATGAATGGATCAAGAAAATGTGGTATATATACACAATGGAATTCTATGCCTCCATCAGAAAGAATGACATTGCCCCATTTGTTAGGAAATGGAAAGACTTGGAAAAAATTATATTAAGCGAAGTAAGCCAGGCCCAAAGAAACATAGGTCCCATGGTTTCCCTTATTTGCAATATCTAGTATATGTATGAGTCAAGCGGAAAAGGTCAGATAATGTGATGTTAGGAAAATGAACCCTTAGATATGTATTTTAATGTTTTTTTCTTTCATGCATGTGTTTCTAACGCATTTATAAGATTATTTCTTTGTTGCTTTGTATGTCCCTCCCCCACAGTATAACCCCCGCTTTCACTATATTTGATGTCAGTATAACTTGTGGAGGAGATGGGGAAAAACAAGTCGTTTAAGGATACAGGTTGACCTGTTGCAACAATGAGAAGTACAAGTTGTCATGTCGAAAACGAGCTTTACAACGTCGGTGCGGGAGGGGGGGGGGGGGGCGGGGCGGGGGGGAGGCTGGGAAGGGATGTGAAGGATAAAGGAGGAGGCTGCAATGCTTGGTAAGAAATGTACACATTATCCTGCCCATGTAATTGTAACCCCTCTGTACAGTATGTTCACAAATAAAATAAAATAAATTTTACAAAATAAAAAAAAAGAAATGTACTCATTATCTTGCTCATGTAACTGTAACCCCTCTGTACACTATTTTCACAATAAAAATACTCATAAAAAATGTGTGCTTGTATTTTTAATTTTTCTCAATTTTACAACAATCATCAAAAACTCTAAATTCCTCAATTACTTTCAAGAATATAAAAAGATTTTAAGACCAAACAGTGTTATATGAAACCAACAAGACTGATTACCATAGCCTGCTGTGATTAACTAACTAAATATGCCAACCATAGAATTCTGAGTATCTGAGGGAAGAAGTGGCTTGGAGGGGCCTGAGGGAGACTAGGAGTCCTGCTTTGAATCTAAACCAGAAGAGATGCCACCAATTTCCACAATCTAGAAAACTTTACTGAAAAGTTTACAATATATGCTTTTCTCTGAATATTTCTGAACCAGTAATTAAACATATTAAAAATGAGTCTGAGTCTAGGGCTGGGAAGGTGGCTCAGTGGCAGAGTGCTTGCCTTGCATGCATGAGGCCCTAGGTTCAACTACTCAGCACCACATAAACAGAAAAAGCGGGAAGTGGTGCTATGGCTCAAGTGGTAGATCGCTAGCCTTGAGCTGAAGAGCTGAGAGACAGCGCCCAGGCCGAGTTCAGGCCCCACGACTGACAAAAAAAAAAAAAAAAGTCTACACTAATTTAAGAAAGTGATTTTAAATGCTGTTTAAGGCTTATTTTAAAAAACATGAAAACATATTTATCTCATCAAACTAAGGGTATGAAAGTGGTTAGCAAGTTGGAGAACACAACTTCTACGATATAAGTAAAAAAAAAAGGTAAAAAGAAGAGAACTGGAAGCTGGTGGCTCATGCCTGTAATCCTAGCTACTCAAGGGCTGAAATCTGAGGATGCAGTTCAAACCTATCCTAGTCAGAAAAGCCCGTGACTCTTGTTTCCAATTAACTATCAGAAAACTGAAAATGGAGCTGTGGCTCAAAGTGGTAGAACTCAGGCACATGATGAACCAAAAAAAAAAAAAAAAAAAAAAAAAACCAAAAAAACTAAAAACAAAAATGGGGTACTGGAGGCTTAAACCTGTAATCCTAGCTACTCAGAAGGCTAGGATCTGAGGATCATAATTCAAAGCTAGCCCGGGCAGGAAAGTCAGTGAGACTCTTATCTCCAATAAACCAACAGAAATCCGGAAATAGCACTGTGGCTTAAGTGGTAGAGCACTAGCCTTAAGCTGAAGAGCTGAAGTACAGCGCCCAGGCCCAGAGTTCAAGTCCCACGACCAACAACAACAAAAAGATGATGTACCAAAAACTCAATCCTACATATAATTGCATAGAAATGTACATTATATACATATGAGCACAGAGAGGTGTGCTACATCTGAGAAAGGAATATAGCTGTATTTATAAAGGGACACATCATGTTCTGCCTTTTTAAAAAAATATATTTCTAGTGGGGCTAAAGCTCACGCCTATAATCCTAGCTACTTAGGAGCCTGAGATCTGCGAATTGCAGTTTGAAGCCAGCCTGGGTAGGAACTCCATGATACTCTCATCTCCACCTAAATCTCCAAAAAAAAAGCCAGACATGGCACTGTGGCTCAAGCAGTAGAGTGCTCGCCTTGAGTAAAAATAAGCTCAACAACAGTGCCTAGGACCAGCAAAAAAAAAAAAAAAAGAAAGATAAAGAAAAAAATTTATATTTTATAGTTAAGAAAATACTTGCATACATCTTGGATATTTAAAAACTGTAAACATTAAGAAAAGCTCAAACAAGTGATTTAACCCACTATGTTCAAGCTGTATATAATGTAGGCCTTTCACTCTTCTGATCAGTTAACATACTTTGGTTATTTTATTTACTTACTGGCCCTTAAAAAGGAAAATATGACTCAATACCACTTATCTGTGTTATTTCCACATTGTATTATTAAGGAGTGTATTACTGAGAATTCATACTTTTTATTTCCCCACAAGTAAAAAATGTGACAGAGGCCAGGCATGGTAGTGATACACACTTAAAATCCCAGCACTCAGGAGACTGTGGCAGGACTGAGAGACGGTGGACAGATTGGGCTACGTAGGGAGTTCAAAGCAAGCCTAGGCTACCTGGAAAGGCCCTGTCTCAAAAACAAAATTACTCAAAAAAGGAAAAGAACCATGGAAAACCAAGTTTCAAAACTATGTCAGTAGTATCAGCTAAGCCTACTTGTAGCAAGTCCCCATTCAATTTTAATATTAGGATTATTTTGAGGAATAAAGCTAACATGGAAGAAAATGAAGCCAACCACAAAAAAAAAAAAAAAATCAAGATGTCTGATTGAATACTGTTTCAATTTTGAATTCTGATGATAAAGTAAGTTTAAGAAATCTAGGCTTCTCTGGCAGTACATGGGCAAAAAGAACTCCAAGTGAATATTTTAACTATTTCTTCCTAGACAGCATCTGTGTTGCTGATCTGCCACCTTAAGGTACTCCTTAGGTCCTGATGTGCTAATAGCACTAATAAGTCCCAACCACTTATTGTATTGTAGATATTTAAAATGTCATACTTTTCCCTTACTGGATTCCTAACCATGAGATGTTATTGCTCCCTTTCACAGATGGGACAGAAAGATTCAACATTTTCCCAATGTTAACCAACTAGTAAGTAGTTATTCTCTCATATCTCTTCTCATCAAATACCTAGGACTCAACAGAACCTCTGATAATGAATGGGAAGAAGTATTCTATTACTAATAGAAAGAATGGGATAAGCTTTTTTTTTTGGGGGGTGGGGGGGTGGGGGGTCGGGTCGTGGGGCCTGAACTCTGGGCCTGGGCGCTGTCCCTCAGCTCTTCAGCTCAAGGTTAGCACTCTACCACTTGAGCCACAGCGCCACTTCCGGCTTTTTTCTTTTTTCTTATGTGGTGCTGAGGAATCGAACCAAGGGCCTCAGGCATGCAAGGCAAGCGCTCTACCACTGAGCCACCCTCCCAGCCCTGGGATAAGCTTTAGTGGTATATTTTAAAAGAATTTCAAAATAGTTTCTACTTTGTAAGTAAACTGAATACCAGAATAATACTGGGTAAAATGATTAAAAAACATTCTGTGGGACAGATCAGAGGAGGAAGCTCAAGAACATGGAAGAAAGACCCCAGCCCCCTTCTCTTTGCTCCCACTCTCTGCTCTCTGCTTGCTCTACAGTGTAGCTGCAGTGAATACACAAACATAATCTGCTTGAAGGCCACAGGTGCCAACACAATACTTCTAGAGAAAGCAAGACCGTCAAAAGAAAATTCCTAGAGAAACCAAAATTAAGATAGTGTGCATGTGGATAATTGTGTATATTAAACCTTCATCTCAATTAGCTTACTTACTTCCGAAGTTCAGCATTTTGTTTCTCCAGGTTCATTTTCATTTCCATGAGGTGATTATTCTCTTGTTTTAACTGCTTTTCTGACATTTTCAATGTGTTAACTTGCTGTGTTTGCATCTTCAGGTCATTTTGCGTTAGGCAGCGCTTCTGAGTTTCCTGCTCTATTTTTAACGTCAAATTTTGAACCTCAAAACATAAAATGTAGACTTAGTATAAAAGTAAACTACTTTTATTTTTCTTATGAATAAAGCTAACAGAAAATATGGTGATATAAAAGTTTTTTTCCAGCCGGGCGCCGGTGGCTCATGCCTGTAATCCTAGCTACTCAGGAGGCTGGCATCTGAGTATTGCAGTTCAAAGTCAGCCTGGGCAGGAAAGTCTGTGAAACTCTTATCTTCAATAAACCACCAGAAAACCAGAAGTGGCACTGTAGCTCAAGTGGTAGAGCACTATCCTTGAGCTGAAGAGCTGAGGGATGGCACTCAGGCCCAGAGTTCAAGCCCCACAACTGACAAAAAAAAAAAAAAAAAGTTTTTTCTCATTCATTTCACAGTAAAATGTTTAAAAGACTCTATTGAATTTTGGGAAGAGGAAACAAAGGAGGAAGCTACAATGCTTGATAAGAAATGTACTCATTATCTTGCCCATGTAATTGTAACCCCTCTGTACAGTATGTTCACAATAAAAAATAAATAAAAATTTAAAAAAAAAAAGAATCTGTATTCATGACAAAAAAATACTATTGAATTATCATTTTCTTATACTATACATGAAAATCCAGTAAACTCAAGAGATGGAGTAGAATATAAGAAAAAAATTGGAGTTTACGAAGTCCTCCATAAGCTTTTACAAATAAACTAGCTTATTATTAAGTCTTTAAATGTTCATTAGTGAAATCTATACTTACATCCTCATTGAGTCCATCTTTTTGTTTAAGGAGCTCATTCACCTTTTGCTGTGACTGTTTGAGGTCACAGTCCAAAATAGAGCATTTTTTCTCAGCTTCTAGTAATAGGTTCTCTACCTTCTGTTTTAAAGACCTTTCTTCTAAGAGCTTCTTCTCCATTTCTATTACAATAAAAATGGACATAAAAATGAATAAGCACATAAAACAAGCCTACCAAATATGACAGCGCCAATAAAAATGACAGTAGTATTTTTATTCAATTCCAAGTTAATATTTTTACCACTCTCAATATATTTGAAATATCAAGATTTTTTTTTTTTGGGTACGGTCATGGGGCCTGAACTCTGGGCCTGGGCGCTGTCCCTCAGCTCTTCAGCTCAAGGCTAGAGCTCTACCACTTGAGCCACAGCGCCACTTTTGCTTATGTGGTGCTGAGGAATCAAACCCAGGGCCTCAGGCATGCAAGGCAAGCGCTCTACCACTGAGCCATCTTCCCAGCCCAAATATCAAGAAATTTATGCTTGCAAGTTAGGGGTTTTGTTTATAGAATGTTAAGATACATTTGCCTTTATGGTTCTATAAGATGCTGATTATCTTTAGATAAGAGATTTATCTTACTGCTATTTTATATGTTTCTGTGTTACTGTTTTGTTGTTGCTTTTGTTAGCCATGGGGCTTAAATAATGTTTTATTTCAATATGAAATGAAATTCCTTTTTTTTTTTTTTAATTTTTTTTTTTGGTGCTGGTACTAGGGCTTTAACTCAGGACCTGGGCATTGTCCCTAAACTTTTTGCTCATGGCTAGTGCTCTATCAATTGAGCTACAGCTTCACTTCCTGAAATTCCTTTTTAAGAGTTTTAAAACTGAAGTTTCTTTTACAAGAATACTTTAAAAATATTACTTTCAGAATTTAAAATCCATTATAAACAATCTGGAAAACAAATACTGTAATTATCCTATGATAACTCCAAGACAAGAGCTGGTCTGTAAAAGCAAACTATATTATCTCTTAGTATTATACAGCTTTAATCAAATCTGTCTGATATCTTCATACTCTGAACAAATAATAGATCCCACTATTAAAAAAAAAAATCTTTACCTGCATAAACCAGAAGCAATTCTGAAATAGGGCTGGAGAAAAATTAAACTATCATAAGCATTACAAAAAGAGAGCCAATGCCTCAAATCAGCATAGATCTACCTGAAGCATAGATTACACCTGTACACTGTTCACTACTGATAGCACTGGAACACGAGATTCTCTCAGACTTAAAAAATATGGCTGAAAAATTATAACTGTTATGAGAACATGAAGAAAAAAATAAACACATAAAGCTTCCCTAATAGTTTTCTTCCTTTTAGCTCCTAATATTTGTCAATAAAATATAAACAAATAGTCTCAAAATGAAGGAATTCAATACCCAATTAATTCTTGGAGAAGTGCCAATAGAAAATTCTTTTTTAATTGCATACCTTTCATGGCCTCTGATTTAGCTTCTTCAATGGACTCATAGATCTTATTTTTATCTGCTAGCCGTGCTTTTGTAGTCTTGTGTTCAGCTTCTTCTTGTTCTAAACTTTGCTGTATAACTTTTAGTTGGTACGTCATATCTATTTCCATGTTGCTCTTTTCCTATTAAAAGATTTTAAATGGAGGTTATCAATGAAAAGAAAGCTGGCTCCACAATTTCTAAATTTTCAAGACTGTTTTTTTTTTTTTTGGGTCCGGCTGTGGGGCCTGAACTCTGGGCCTGGACGCTGTCCCTCAGCTCTTCAGCTCAAGGCTAGCGCTCTACCACTTGAGCCACAGTGCCACTTCCGGCTTTTTTCTTTTTGCTTTATGTGGTGCTGAGGAATCAAACCCAGGGCCTCAGGCATGCAAGGCAAGCGCTCTACCACTGAGCCATCTTCCCAGCCCTCAAGACTGTTTTTAAAGAGGCTTATCATCAACCAAACTTTCTGCAATGATAATCTAGACCTCTACTTTCTCACTCTCCCTACCTCCCTGCTGTATTTCCTATACTGTGAGAGATCTCTATCAATACTATTTACTTCAACAAAGGGACTAGAGAGTTAGTTTCAATATCTCCACTTCTTACAACATTCTTTCACACAAACTTTTAAAATACACCTAAAGTTCCTCTTTGCTACATAAAACATTACCTCTAGATCTCCTACTATTCACATGAGACTTTCTTGGGGGGTCTTCCTGGGGATGGAACACACAGCCTTGTGCCAGAGCACGTGTCCTTCCACCAAACTACACTGAGCTTTTTTTTTTTTTTTTTTTGGGGGGGGGGGGGGGGGGAGGTCCTGGGGCTTGAACTCAGGGACTAGGCACTGCTCGTGAGCTTTTTTGCTGAAGGCCAGCGTTCTACAACTTCCAGCTCTACTTCCAGCATTTTGCTAGTTAATTGAGGATAAGAGTCTCAAAGACTGACCATAAACCACAATCTTCAGATCCGAACCTTTTGATTAGCCAGGATTACAGGTGTGAACTACCACACCCAGCAAAAATCTTTAATAGGTAAGTCAGACTCTTTTCTATATATGCCAAGGAGACTTCTACTTCTTTGATTTCTATAGCTTGCATCAGAGGTTAAGATACTTACTTTTTCAAATAAAATCTTTAATACTAAAAATGACTTTTCAAGCTACATAATATATACACAGAATAATCTATGCTGCTATGAATAATTATAATTTGACAGTCTCTTTACAGATGAGCTAGCTCTCCTATCCACATGATTTCAGCAACTTACACACCAAAGACTCAAATATTCCTAGCTTCTATTAGCAGACTTACTACTTAATTTGGCTGGCATAGAGATACATCAAATTTAAAGAGGTCTACAGTAGGATTTGTCATTGTCTCTAAATGATTTTTTTTTTGGTGTGTATGGGGGGAGGTAGTGCTGGTTTTGGGGCTTGAACTTGGGGCCTGAGCAGTATCACTGAAATTCTTTTCACTCAATGCTGGTACTCTTATCACTTGATGCAGCTCCACAGCGGTTTTTTTCTGTTAATCAGAGATAAGAGTCTCATGGACTTTGCTACCTGGGCTGGCTTCAAACTTGAAATCCTCATATCTAAGCCTCTTGAGCAGTAAGAATTACAGGTGTGAGCTACCAATGTCTGGCTAAACGAGACAATTTTTAAAGAGGTCTAAAATGGAGTTATTTATTAATGCCTCTAAATGAGGTGCCATTTCATTGTCTTTATTAATTAATGGTACAATTGTGTATCTTATTATAGCCTACAAGAGCTCATGAGCTGAGGGCTCATTCTTGACCACTATATACTCTTAAATTGTACCTAAATGATTACTAAGTGCTGCCAAATACTCCTCCCTGGAGGATTCCGAGTCAGGATATTCCTATCCTTGAAATGGCTTCTCTACCACTCCATCATCCCTTATTGTAAAAAAAAAAAGTATCTAGTCTCCATGACTCTGGTCATCCTCCATCTTTTCTCTCCATATCACAACCATCTACCAACCAATCTACATATGTCTCTAAAGACCATGCAATTTAGCCCTTTAGTGATGGTCCATTACACAATTCGAATTCAAAACCTTACACAGGGCTGGGAAAGTGGCTCAGTGGTAGAGCGCTTGCCTTGCATGCTCGAGGCCCTGGGTTCGATTCCTCAGCACCACATAAGCAAAAAGAAAAAAGCCGGAAGTGGCACTGTGGCTCAAGTGGTAGTGCGTTAGCCTTGAGCTGAAGAGCTGAGGGACAGCGCCCAGGCCCCGAGTTCAGGCCCCACAACCGGACCCAAAAAACAAAACAAAAAAAAAAAACCTTACACAATCCAGCTCATACCTACCTCTATACCAAACATTTGCCACTGAGTTTCTACTATTCTTTTTTTTTTTTTTTTTTTTGGGGGGGGGGGGGAAGGGGAGGTCCGGTCGTGGGGCCTGAACTCTGGGCCTCAGCACTGTCCTTCAGCTCTTCAGTTCTTCAGCTCAAGGCTAGCACTCTACCACTTGAGCCACAGCACTACTTCCGGCTTTTTTCTTTTTGCTTATGTGGTGCTGAGGAATCGAACCCAGGGCCTCAGGCATGCAAGGCAAGCGCTCTACCACTGAGCCACCTTCCCAGCCCCTCTACTATTCTTGAATAAAGGCCATTTTATCTAGGGTTGGGGATGTAGCTCAGAGCACCTGCTTATAGCACATTATTAGGGAGGGAGCTCATGTTGTGATAATCAGGTTGATTTTGGCCTGATGTCTATTTTTCATTTGAGTTTTCCTGGAACACTGCCATCTTTTATTCTTTACAAATTGCACTTGGCTGAACAGTTGCAAGCAACCATATGGCCCACAAAACCTAAAATATTTACTATCTTGCTTTCAAAGAGTAAGGTTTGCTGACCCTTTGCTCTCTACCAGAAATACTGAGCAGACTATATCTAGATAAACCAACAATGCCTTTGTTATTTTTCCATCCTTTGATTAGACCATCCTCACCTAAGAGTATGCCTTTACCCGCCTACCTATCTGATCCTGTTAAAGGACTCATTTTTAACCAATAGACTACATTCCCTATCCAGACCTCTGTCATTCAATTACTTTTTTTTTTTTTTTTTTGGCAATACTGGGATTTGAACTCAGGGCCTCATGATTGCTAGGCCAATGCCCTATCATGTGAGCTACACTCCCAGTTCTACTTCTGTCATTCAATTACACACTGCATTAGAATTATCTGTGGCTTTTATTAGTGAGTATGTGTGTTTGTACTAGGGCTTGAACTCACTCAGCATTTTCTCTCACAGATAGTACTCTACCACTTGAGCAACTCTGCCAGTTCTTATACTTTTAAATAGTATCACCTATTGGACTATGATATTACTAAATGCACAAACTATATATTGACACTTCACAGAAGACATACTAAGTATTTAAGTGAATAAATAAGTAAAAATAAAATAATAACAGCACAGGTTCTTAGAAATCATCCCTGGCCTACAGTATTTTTCATGGAAACTTCTAGGTGCCAAAAGTCATGTCATGATAATTGTTTTATTATGTAATTTTCCTGGGATCTCTAAAGTATCTTAATTATAAACACTCAAGAAGGAATTTCTTCATGAACTTCCAGGACACTGAGAGCTGCATGTATGGTGTCTGCTTCTACAGTAAGTCTTAAAACATATATCTTCCCCTACACAACCAAGCCTAAATTTAAGAATAAAAATACTCCTGTGAGTTATTTCCTGTATTTTATCATCTGAAATCCTAGAATGATTTTTCTACCAAAAAAGAATAGCTGAACATATTTTACCTTTTCCAAATCAGTGAACTTTTCCTGTAGTTGTCTCTTCTCCAGCTCTATTTTTGCTAGTAAGATTTTGCCATTCTTTAAATCTTCTTCTAGGCCAGATATTCTGCCTAAAAATTGCAACTTTTTAAAAACAATGTACCGACAAGTTATATGCATCAATTAAGAGTAAAATATTTGGAAGCTGTCTCCTATTTTGTAGCTGTTAATGGTGAGCAAGTTTTATACTTGTTGGCAAAATGGTTTACAGTTAATTCAACTAAATTCAATTGACCACCATCAACTAGAACTCAATTAATATCGCAGATATTGGTAGTCTGAAATTTAAAATAAATCTCTTGTTCATAAACTTTTTTATTTACATATTTCTAATGTTCTAACTTTATATAACAGTACAATATTCTAGAGTGTTATTCTAGAGCATTATCCATTATCGGAAGTTATTTCCAAATTGAAGATAATCAAAATTAATTCAAGTGCACATTCTACTATCATACCTTGCAAATCATTAATTATCTCTGATCCATGGGTCCGGTCCCTCCTTTCAGATTCTAGAGCTGACTGAAGATTGATAAATTCTTTCTCAAGTTTTAACTTGGCAGTTTCAAGCAGGCAGTTTTTATCTTGCAGATCTCTATTGTTAGACTCCAGCTGTTGAATCTGTTTTGAACTTTCTGCCTGGGTTTTTCTTAACCGAGCTGCAGTATCAGATTCTGTTCTCAGCAAAGCATGCGTTTCATCCAGCTGTTATCCCATTCAAAAGCAAAAAAACTCAGGTATATAAAATGAAAACACATTATAAAATACTCAAAGTAAATGATAACCTACAAGTATTTTCCTAAGGACAGAGGCTAAACCTTCTGCAACACTGCCAATTTCAATTCATGTTAACTAGCCATCGTAAGTAAAACTCATTATCTGTATCAACAGAGATAAACCTACTTGTTTCTGGAGTTGATTTACTTTCTCAGTGGATATCTGAGAGTTCTGATTTCTTTTTTTCAAATCTTCAAGTTGATCTTTTAGGCTGTTAACTATGATAAAAAATATTTTAGTGCCAATTCCCAACAACACACATACAGAATATTTTTCTTGACAAATATTTAATATTCTACATCACAAACCATCGTTTTCTAAATTCCGTTTCTTGTCAGCTTCATGATCAGCTTTCCGTTGATATTCTGCGTTTTTGTGCTGAAGTAGGGCCTTTTCTCTTTCCAATTGTCTTAATGCTGATTCCACATTTTTCCGTAATGTAATCTGAAATAATGCTTACTGTTATCACCAAAAGCAGATATGCATTATAAAAAAAAAAAGCAAAACTTCAGTGAAGGGGCCTCCAAAAATAGAGCTGTCACTGAGCCAAAGACGGGAACCAGGAGGATCCTGGCTTAAGGCCACTACAAGTATAAAAAACATGGGACACCATCTTAGCTGGTATGTATCTGTCATCCTATCTTCATGGGAAGTTGAGATCTGGAGGACTGGGATTCAAGGCTAGCCTAGCCAAGTTTATAAGACTCCATCTTAACAAAAAAGTCTGGGTGGGCTGGGAACATGGCATATGGGTTTGATTCCTCTTGATACAACGGAAAAGGCTAAAACTGGGGCTGTGGCTCAAGTGGTAGAGTGTTAGCCTCGAGCAAAAGAAGCTCAGGGACAGCGCCCAAGCCCCAAGTTCAAGCCCCAGGACTGGCAAAAAACAAAAACAAAAACAAAATCAGGGAATGATGGTGTGTACCCATTTTCTCTGCTATAATGGGAAGAATAAATAGGATTGAAGCTCAGACTGACTCAAGATAAACAGTGAGACCCTATCTCAAAATTAACAGTGCAAAATAGACTAGAGGTATGATTTAAGCAAGAGAGTGCCAGACTAGCAAGTACTGATCCCTGAGTTCAAATCCCAGTACTTCCCTGGCAAAAAACTGACATTATTGTTAAAATGATCATTTTTCATTTTTATAAAATAGCACACTATTCTTAAATAAGACCATATTTTATTCACTATTGAAAGCACAATTTTCTGTAATTTTCTTGAACCACAACCACCACCACCACCGTCGTCGTCATCATCATTATTTTTGTTGGTCATGGGGCTTGGGCACTGTCCTTCAGCTCTTTAGCTCAAGGCGAGCACTCTACATGTGAGCCATAGTGCCACTTCTGGTTTTCTGGTGGTTAATTGGAGAAAAAGAATCCCAGGCCCAGAGTTCAAGCCCCATGACCGACCAAAAAAAAAAGTCACTTGGTTTTTAAACCAAAATAAAAACATCATTTTTAAACTTGAAATATGTATATATACTAAATTAAGTCTATAAAAACAGAATGACATGCAGGTAATAAAAGTTACCATATAATTTCATACTTCATTGTTACAAAGGCGTATTTTACCATCTACCAAGATACCCAGTACTGCAAAAAGGATAAGGTAATTTTTACCTCTTCTTCCAGCTCTTTTGCTGTTTTTTCTAGTCGAGTATTAATGCATCTAAAAAATTAAAAAGAAACAGTAAACAAAATCAAATTTATGACATAAGCACAGTCTACAAATATAAAAGTTTTAAAATCTACTATTTGTGTACAAGACATACTTGCACTTTTGTTCTAACTCTTCTTTGGCTTGAGTCTCAGTGTTAAGTTGTTCTTCTAGTATATATAGTTTTTTCTGAATCTGTCAAAGAATAAGAAATAAGATTTGGTCCTATTTAAAGATGAGGCTTAAAGATAATCATTACTTTGCTTTTCTACTTAATACAGTCTCCAACCACTACATTTGTCCCTGCATTCTGCGACTTTTACAGGCAAAGAGGACATCTACTCTATCACTTCACACAGGAGCACACACACACAACCAGGAATGAAGAAGCTCCCACTTAGGCTGAGTTGTGCTATGACACAACTCAGTATATTCAAATTCAGTATAAATAAAGGACCCAGGTCTCAGTAGCCTCCAATGTTCTTCTATAGATTCTTCTTTATTTGAAAATACTGTGACTGACTGTGCTCATGAGATGAAGATGTAAGATCTACATGTGAAATAAATATACAGAATATCCTCTAAGTATACCCAGAAATGTATTGCTGCTTAACTGTGAGCAATTAGCTCTTCTTTTGTATTTTCCTCCAGTGTTGGGCACACTACTATGAAGAGCTGTTATTAATGAATCCTGAATAAATGACAGCTAATTACTTTGTAAGTACTTTCTTCATTAGCTTTCCATAGATATGTTAGTCTTCAAACAGACTGAACTTTAAAACTACTAAGTAATTCGTGTTTCAAAATGTGATTTCCTTTTCAAAGGATTTAACTTTTTAAGTTCCTTTAGTGCACTGGGTACAATGTTAGGTGCTTTTCAAGTTTTGTCTCAGGCCATGGCAATATGACTAATACTCAGTATTCCCAGTGTCTGTCCAGTGGCTGTGTTCTCCCTGGTGTCTCAAATAAATACCTCATGTACCTTAAGAAAACAATACTCTGGTTCCAAAATAAGATGCTAACAAACTAATCAAGTTTAACTGTTCTGGACTGACAGTACATTAATTTGAGCATATCAGTTATTACAAGCTAATTAGAAGTTCTATCAGTATATATTCAACAAAGTAAACTACATAACATACTTAAAACAACAAGGAAAAATTAAGAGGGATACTTGACATAATAAAAGTTGGGCACTTCTCTCTCAGGTAGATGTGGCACTCCAAATAAAAGGCAGACAGTGACTATATTAAATCATGCTAGACTGGAAGTTTTTCAATACATTTGACAACATACCTCTTGACTTTCCTATGGAAAAAAAAAAGAAAACAATAAAATGTTTACTATGTCTAATAAAAGTCTTAAAACACCAAGTCAGACCAAAATCATCCAATCCATTTTCTATCTTATCTTGAATTTAAAGAAAATGTTTTAACATTGTCATTTACATGTATGCATGTGTGATTTACCTTTGTATGCAGTAATAAATCATAGTAGTCATAAAATACTATAGCTGATAAAAATATCCTTTATAGAAATACATTCTTATATAGAAACTCAGAATTTGAATCCCTCCCTGACTTATTGTACCTTGTACCTTAGTAGCTGTGCTTTTACATCAAGACTATAAAATTTTCTAAATGGTATTATAGCTTGAAAGCACGTACAATCCATCTCTTTACTAGCTATCATGTCTCAAACAATGAAGCTGTGCACATAAATAATAATTTCAATATTATGACAAAATGTATCAAACAACAAATGCCACCTCATGATTTAAAAAGTAGCATCATGAATCCAGGTGTAGTGCAGTGGTACAGGCCTGGAATCCCAGCTCTCAGTAGGCTGAAGCAATAGAATCACAAGTTTGTGGCCAGCTTGCAACAGGATCCTGTCGTAAAAAGTAGGATCCAGTAATTTTGCTTTTTGCTTCATTTTGTTCACACACACACACACACACACACACACACACACACACACACACACACACACACACACACGTGGAGATAAAAGGGCTGGACTCAGAGCCTTGAGTATTCTTACTTGGTCTGTTGCTCACAACTGGTGCTCTAGCATGTTAGCTAACAAATCCAGTCCAGTATTTCTGCTGGCTAGTTGGAGATAGTACTGAAGACTTTCCTGCCCGAGCTGGGTTCAAATCCTATTTTTTGATTCCAGCCATCTGAGTAGCTAGGATTAAAGGCATGAGGCCAATGGTCTGGCTTCAAGTAAACTTTTTTTTAAAAACTCATCATGATTATTAAAGTTTATTATTACAAAATAGCTAGTGTGGTTAAAAATGTATACATACTTCATTTTTCCTTGATTGTATTGAATCATTTTCTCTACAAGATGGAGAGTCACTTAATAACCTAAAAAGAATGGAAAAAAGTTGCACTTCATTTTAAATCTAAATATCTAAATAACAAGTTATTTTCAGAATTAAATATCAATCGCAATGATATCTTACTCTTTTTACTTAAATATATTGTTGGGTCTGGGATTACTACCTACAACTCTTCTTCCCTCTTCTCATCTCATTTGAATTTCTCTGAGCATTACAGTCTATCCCATATTCTACAAAGAGACTTTTTTCTTACAGTTAATATCCATGATCTGCAGATCTTAGACAAAAATTGTCCCTCTGTTGTACTGTCAACTTCTCCATCTTCTAGATCTTCCCTACTATCAACCAACCTGACGACATTGCTCCTGGCACTGATATCTCATTTTGCTCAGCATTCTGATGACTAAAACATTAGGAGGATGACCAAGCATGCCAGATTGGTTGACAGGTTTCTAGTTTTATCATAAAAATCCCATGTCTCATCTGAGGAAACAGGCCTGGGCAAATAGTGACACTTGGTCACTCCAATTGTCACATACAAGCCTCAACTGTCTTTATCAGTCTTCAGAGGCTCCTCACTGCCTGTCAGTCACAATTCCCTTAGACAGGTTACACAGCAATCACTGTGATTCTTCCCCTAAATTCCAACTCCAATCTATTTTCTACTTTACATTCAATTTATGTTGACTTCAGTCAACTAATATTTATTCAATGACTATGTACCAGGGTCTGTAGTAGCTGCACACATTACAGGTCAGAAAACCAGTTTCCTTGGGTCGTCCTTAGCACCCTACTGGACTATACTACTACTCCCAACGTATGTGTACATCCAAATTTCTTCTTCCACCCTTTCCTTCACCATAATGCTCTGCTCTCTCCCTACACCTCGACCCTAGTCTCCCCACTCGAAATCCTTCACTATCATTACACAGCTAAAATGCTTCCTCTTCCTTCACTTAGCTGACTTCTCTTTACTTCCATTCAAAAGAAATGTGACCCTTTTCCCCTTCTAATTCTTTTGGTACCTTTTTAAAGGCACATATCACATTCTACCCTTCTTTATTACTACAGCTCCATCAAAAGCAATTATTTGTTCTTATTCTATATCTTCAAAAGAATAGAGAAAACTGCCTTGTCATAAATAAATGTAGCATTCAACGTCAATGGTGGAATAAAATTAAGAACATTCTTATAGTCCTTTGAAAAAATCAAAGTTAAAAACAAATTAACAATAATCTCTATTATTCGGTCTCAAGATATCCTCTTAAGAGTGAGGTTATGAAAACAAAACTGAACAAATCACATACAAATTTTCTCTATAGTAGGTAAATCCTATAAAAGGCAGCTGATTTCCTACAAAAGCTTTAGGAATTGGGAAGGTTTCTACGTCTCCTTTATCATCTTCAATGTCATCAAAATTGCTGCTGTCTATATCGCTGCTGAGTTCAGGCACTACAGGAGCCGCCGCTGTTGAAGAAAAGAAATCACTTATTTCATTCACAGCTAAAATAGGAGACACAAACCAGTCTATTTTTATGATAGATTAAATCATGCTAAACTATATAAAATACCTTATTTACTATATGATATTTTAGCAATGTATCTTCCATTTTATTGTTTCCTAGAATTAAAACTTTACAAGAAATATTTTACTCTATTAGGTCAGCTTTAAATATGGATTAGTACATTCAATTATTTAATGTGCTACTGTTATTCCAGGTGATAAATATTACAGGTAATAATAACTTCTACATGTATTGTTCAGGGTCCTCAATTCTCTACATTCTTTAGTTCAAATATTCTTACCCTTAAAATGACTCATGCCATGTATAAAGTAAAAGTGAATCAGAATACTATGCTCTCCTAAAGTATGATCTACATAAATAATTATCTTATCCACTCACGTGCATTCAAATTAAGAAACTACATTCCCTTCATTATGAAAATTACTGAGAGCCATAAAAATCTTACTCGGAATATTCAGAAATGTATAAAGAGAATTAGGAAATACTGCTAATAAATAAGTACATATTAATTAGCTGCTAAGATATGGAGTATATATTTAGTAACAAATACTACAAGGAAAAAAAAACCTCTAAAATGAAATTTCTTAATATAAAAATGAATTACCATAAGGTATATGAAACACATCTGCTATATAAAAAAAGAAATCAATGAGATTTCAAATACGATGGAATAGAAATACTTAAGATTTATTAACTTACTCTCTCTTATGTTATCCCAATTCCATTGATCATTCTTAAAGAAAGGATGTTGTTTGATTTCTTCTACCCCATTCCTCCCAAGTCGTACCTCTCTAAACAATACAGTAAAAGATTCTATTATAAAAATATAATTATCAAAAAATAAAAACACTGACGCTTTAGTTTATCTAGACAGTTTTAACAAAATAAAGATCACAAATGAGTTTCAGATTTTTTTTACATCAAAACTTCAACTTAAATGTTTGCCAAAATAAAGCAATCCAACTTTATAGTATGTGATCTCTGGATGAACTTAAAAGACTGTAAAAATTCCCACTGGTACCTATGTCAAATAAAGTACTTGAGTCTTTTAAGTAACAGAATCCCCCCTACACATGCCAAACAGCATGACTAACCTCAGGATATAAGAAAAATTAAATTTAGACAAAGAAGAGGTATTTCTGAATTCCCTGAATAGAAGTATTATTTTAAAGTTCTTTCTCCTCTGCACTTTCATGCATACTGTATGGACAAAGGTAGCATCTACTTGAGGTATGTTCTTGGGGCAGGAAACTGCTTAAAGGGACATGGCTCCTAGTCACATTTATGGCTTTACATTATTTTCAAACTATCTTTCTCCATGTACAGTCATTCCTTAGAACGTACCCTTCCCAAAAAACTGCTAAAGTCAATTTTCCATGAACAGTACTCTTCATTAACATATGCTGTACCCAGTCCCTAATAAAACACTATACAGGATATTTTCAGTTTATCATTATTGATTGCTCACAAATCATACAGTTAACAAATCTTAAAATTGTAGTCAATAAATGACTGGTAAACATAAATCAACTTTCTGGCCTCTGGTAGAAAAAAATTTAAGGACTTTTATAATGTTCAGGGTTTTTTGTTGTTGTTGTTGTTTTGGTCGGTCATGGGGCTTGAATTCTGGGCTTGGGCGCTGTCCTTGCGCTCTTCAGCTCAAGGCGAGTGCTCTACCACTTGAGCCACAGCACCACTTCCAGTTTTCTAGTGGTTTATTGGAGATAAGAGTCTCACGGAGTTTCCTGCCAGGACTGGCTTTGAACCGCAATCCTCAGATCTCAGCCTCCTGAATAGCTAGGATTACAGGCATGAGCCACCTGCGCCCGGCTATAATGTTCAGTTTTTATGAGAGAAAAACAATCATTGTTAATTGATATACTAACACCTATGAAAAATCAGTTGTAAAATGAATCTCAGAATTCTACTGTTAAATTTTTTTTTTTTTTCGGTCGTGGTACCTGAACTCTGGGCCTGAGCGCTGTCCCTCAGTTCTTCAGCTCAAGGCTAGCGCTCTACCACTTGAGTTTTTCCTGCTTATGTGGTGCTGAGGAATCGAACCCAGGGCCTTTTTTTTTTTTTTTGTCGGTCGTGGGGCTTGAACTCTGGCCCTGGGCCATGTCCTTCAGCTCATCAGCTCAAGGCTTACGCTCTACCACTTGAGCTACAGCGCCACTTCCCGAACCCAGGGCCTTATGCATGCAAGGCAAGCACTCTTCCACTGAGCCACCTTCCCAACCCCATCTACTGTTAACTTTTTATATAAGAAGTTGTGCATGGTGAGTCAAGCCTGTTCTAGCTACTAGTGAGAAGAGGCAAAATCAAGGTTTGGGCATAAAATTTGGAAAGATACCATCTCAACAAAGGCTGGGTGCAGTAACACAAATTTGTCATCCCAGCAACAACGGAAGCACAGACAGGAGGATCACAACCTGGTATAATGTGAGACCCTACCTCAAAAATAAATGCATGGGCTGGGAAGGTGGCTCAGTGGTAGAGTGCTTGCCTTGCATGCATGAGGGCCTGGGTTCGATTCCTCAGCACCACATAAGCAGAAAAAAACGAAAGTAGGGCTGAAGGCTCAAGTGGTAGAACGCTAGCCTTCAGCAGAAGAGCTGAGGAACAGTGCCCAGGCCCAGAGTTCAGGCCCCACGACCGACAACAACAACAACAACAAAAAAAGCAAAAGGGGCTGGTGAATGGCTCAAGTGGTAGATAGTTTGCCTAGCGGGCAACTAGTATTTCTCTCTCTCTCTCTATGTGTCTCTCTCTATGTGTCTTTGTGTGTGTGTGTGTGTGTGTGTGTGTGTGTGTGTGTCTCTCTCTCTCTCACACACACACACACCAAAACCCAGTGACAACCAAGAACAAAAATATTTATACAACAAAAATTATGCCAAGATATGGGTATGAAGTCACTACAGTGCTAACAGCACCTTCAACATAGTACTGTGCTTTGTGCTACAATAGTATTGTACTAGGAACTGTGCTACATTAAAACTAGAAATATCCTTTGTTATGAATCTGAACCCTTCCTTTTACAGATGGGCAAAATAATTTCCCAAAAAGATAACCAATTCCTGGCCTTTTGCTAGGATGACTTCTATCACAGTATAAAGCAGGACTTCAGGAAGAAAATTGCAAAGAGAAACCAAGGAAGAAAAATCTTCTCTTTCTGAGGCAGATTTTCATATCTTGTTCATCTATTTCTTTTGGGCCAATAGCAGGGCCAGGATACTCTCACTTAGCTTTTTCCACCTAAGATTGACATTCTACCACTTGAGCCACAACTCCACTTATAGCTTTTTGCTGGTTAACTGCAGATAAGAATTTTAAGGTAATTTCTGCCTGGGCTTGGCTTTAAATGACAATCCTCAAATCTCAGTCTGAGTAGCTAGGATTACAGGTCTGTGTAACCAGTGTCTAGCTATTTGTTTTCTTCTCCTTTTCTGAGTTGGTCATGGGGCTTGAACTCGGGGCCTAGGTGTTTTGAGCTATTCTACTCAAGGCTAGCACTCTATCACTCTGAGCCACAGCTCCACTTCAGGTTTTCTGGTGGTTATTTGGACATAAAAGTCTCAGACTTGCCAGATGCTGGTGGCTCACGCCTGTAATCCTAGCTACTCAGGAGGCTAAGATCTGAGGATCTCAGTTCAAAGCCTGTCCGGGCAAGAAAGTCCATGAAACTCTTACCTCCAATAAACCACCAGAAAACCGCAAGTGGCACTTTAGCTCAAGTGGCAGAGCGTTAGCATTGAGCTAAAGAGCTGAGGGACAATGCTCAGGCCCAGAGTTCAAACTCCATGACTGATAAAAAATCTTGCCTCAGCAGACTTTGAATAGAAATCTTTAGATCTTGGGGTTGGGAAGATGGCTCAGTGTAGAGCGCTTGCTTTGCACGCCTGAGGCCCTGGGTTCGATTCCTCAGCACCACATAAAGAAAAAAGCCGGAAGTGGCACTGTGGCTCAAGTAGTAGAGCGCTAGCCTTGAGCTGAAGAGCTGAGGGACAGCACCCAGGCCCAGAGTTCAGGCCCCACGACTGGACCCAAAAAAAAAAAAAAAGAAATCTTTAGATCTCAGCCTCCTGAGTAGTTTTGATTACAGGTATGAACCACCCTATTTGTTTCTTAAAATAAAGAATTTTCATCATAACCACTACCCACCACTGCTACCACCATGGCTAGAAAAGAACCACCACTATGAAAGAAAAAAAATTAGAATTTCCACAGACTTGTGTCTATTCAAGAGCAAATAAAAAAGGACTGGGAAGGAGGTACTATATGCTGAGCATAAGTACTTTTCAAGATTATGCAGATATTGTATCTATACAAACTGCTTACCTCTCAAAAGTTGTAAATAATAATATAGATTAATTGGTAAGATATGAACAGGAAAGTTTTATTTCTTTCAAATGCTTTGTTTTTACTATGTTTTTTTAAAATTAGACGCAAACATTAAGACAAGCATTAAATTACAAATGAGCTGCACAAACAAAAAGATGAGTGTATGGGGCTGGGAAGGTGGCTCAGTGGTAAAGTGCTTGCCTTGCATGCATGAGGCCCTGGGTTCGATTCCTCAGCACCACATAAGCAAAAAGAAAAAAGCCAGAAGTGGCACTGTGGCTCAAGTGGTAGAGCGCTAGCCTGGAGCTGAAGAGCTGAGAGAGAGCCCAAGCCGAGTTCAGGCCCCACAACTGGACCCCCCCACCCCCTCCCCCTGCAAAAAAAAGATGAGTGCAATTTAGAACAGGCTTAGCAGCAGGAAAAGAATAGACATGAATTAAATACAACTTAATAAGAGATGTTAATTACATATGTAAACAAAATATTCTTTCATCTCTACAAATTTAAAAGAGCTTCTCTACAAAGAAATTCAGTGTACATTACCTGTCTGTTAAGAAGGCACAGATGAGACTCTTTGCATGTTTAGAAATTTCTGCATCTTCAGGGAAACAGAGAGAATTTTTGTGATCCATAATTTTGCTATAAGTTCCTACAAGTGAATCTGCATAAAATGGAGTATCTCCTAAAAGTCCAAGAAAGAAGACAGTAAATGTAATGCAAATAAGAATTAAAGGCTTTTCATCTAACATTTAAGTATTTTAAGGTTAAAACCACCCACATAAATGGAAGAACAAATGATTTTTGAGCCAGAAGTCATACTTAAAATACATACACAAGCAGACACATCAAAATAATATATTTAATATTTGTTACGTATGTGTGGTCCTGGGGTTTGAACTGTGAGAATGAATGCTGTCCCTGAGCTTTTAGGCTCAAGGCACTCTACCACTTGAGCCACAGCTCCAATCTGGCTTTTTTGGTAGTTAACTGGAAATAAAGTGTCTCACTGGCTTTACTTCCTGGGTGGGCTTTGAACCTCAGATCTCAGCTTCCTGAGTAGCTAGAATTACAGGCATGAGCCACCAGCACTCAGCTAATATATTTAATTTTTAACTACTTCAATGATCCTTCCATCCCTAAAAGCAAAATATAACCAATGTTAGCTTGAGACAGGTATAGCTCAGATAACTTCAAACTTGTGGTCTCCTACTTTTGTCTCTGGGTTTTTGCTTTTTTTTTTTTTTGGGTCCGGTTGTGGGGCCTGAACTCTGGGCCTGAGCGCTGTCCCTCAGCTCTTCAGCTCAAGGCTAGTGCTCTACCACTTGAGCCACAGCACCACTTTCGGCTTTTTTTCTTTTTGCTTATGTGGTGCTGAGGAATCAAACCCAGGGCCTCAGGCATGCAAGATAAGCGCTCTACCACTAAGCCACCTTCCCAGCCCCTGGGTTTTTGCTTTTAACAGACAAAAGTTAAATACTTTATTAATTCAAGAAAAACGTCATTAGGAGAGGTGAGAATGAGCTGGATCAGCCATTTGAGATGACTTGCTATAGCTGTTTCACAACTCAGCAGCCACCAGCTGTCTATGACAACTGAAAGCTGAACTTACATTAAATAAAATGAAAAACAAAGTCACATTTCCAGTTTTCCATGTGGTCAGTAGCTATCACACTAACAGGTGCAATATGAATTGTTCGTGCCAGACTGGATGATGTTGCTCTTACAGTCTTAGAGAAGCTGAATAGATCTGCCTAAGATGATGAGTAGCTAGAGGAAGAATATAATCATCTCTCAATGCAGTGTTCCTGGTAACTAATGACAGCCATACCGGTACTCATCAGGAGCCACAAGGTTAAAAAGACCTGTATGGTGGTACAAGTTAAATGTTCCCAAATCAGGCAATCTAAAACTTCAAAAGGTATATTCAGATGGTTCCTTATTTGAATTCAAAGGGGCTTGAGCTAAGCACTTAAATTAACATTTTTTCTTGGGCAATACTTTAAATGAAAGCCAATGTCAGAGCATCACAGCAGTCTGAGAGTACAGAAAATCATCGCCATTCAAATTCACTATCAGCCCTCAAATAAACCAGATTACCTCCTCTAAAGTACTAACTAAATCCCTAGAAACAGTGGCAAGGCAAGTAAGAGAACACATTCTTCTTTCAAAGGATTACAAGAGCCATCTTAATGCCTCCTCAGATCACTTGCCAAAGTGGAAGAAATGGAGAACAGACAGCTTCTTGGCACCACTTGGTGGGTTCAGAGATTCACCACAAAGGCAAAGGCCCAAAATAGGGTCACAGTATAACCTGACACTATGCTTAACAAAATCCATCCTACATATACTGAATTGTCATTAAGAGAAGGGGATTATGTCACATAAAAAGTTTCACAGCCATTATTATTTACATTTATAATTTATTAAAAAAATTGGACTTTTTTTTTAGCAGTCATAATATATCATAAAACAGATTTTGCAGTACCAATTTCTTTTCCTTTCTTTTTTTTTTTTTGTGTCTGTCGTGGGGCTTGAACTCTGAGCCTGGGCACTGTCCCTCAGCTCTTCAGCTCAAGGCAAATGCTCTACCACTTCAGCTACAGCGCCACTTCCGGTTTTCTGGTGGTTTATTGGAGATAGGAGTCTCACAGTATTTCCTGCCCGGGCTGGCTTTGAACCGCAGTCCTCAGATCTCAGCTTCTTGAATAGCTAGGATTACAGGCGTGAACCACCAGCGTCTGGCTTACCAATTTCTTTTAACATTTTTAAAAATCTTTTCTTTTTTTGTACTGAGGATCGAACCCAGAATATTACACCTGCTAGACAAGTCCTTTGCCATTAATATCCCACCCCAGTACAAATATATTTTAAGCTCATCTTCTAGAAAATAAATTCCAAAATAAATAAATTTCAAAATCATATTTTCAACTCTATAATCACTCTTAGGCTTCTTACACTTGCCTTAGAAAGAAGATCTAGCTATACTTTCCCTCACCCCTAAGCCAGGTAACTCAGTCAGAAGATGTTTTTGTGACCCTTGAGTATAGAAATGGGACAACTTAGCAACAAAATCTATACAGAGACAGTTTTGAAAACTTCAAATTTTTGATTTGGTCAAAGATACTTAATTTCCTTCCGAGTTTTCTAAAACAAAATTATATTTGCCTTAAAAATAAAATTGTTGGGCTGGGAAGATGGCACAGTGGTAGAGCACTTGCCTTGCATGCATGAGGCCCTGGGTTCCATTCCCCAGCACCAATAAGCAAAAAGAAAAAAAGCCGGAAGTGGCACTGTGGCTCAAGTGGTAGAGTGCTAGCCTTGAGCTGAAGAGCTGAGGGACAGCTGAGGGACAGAGTTCAGGCCCCCCGACCAGACCCCCCCCAAAAAATAAATAATAAAAAATAAAATAAAATTGTCAATTATAATATTTATGATTCAATTCTGAATTATGAACAAAATATAGTCTAGTAGTAAATAAAAGGAGTCCAGTTTACGTAATAAATATTCAATTGCATATATAAGTATTCAAACTAAAGAATATTTCTAGTTCTAGGTTACTATTGGAAAAAATATTAAAACAGTCCTATATTTAAAATACTTAAAAACAAATTATGATTATCAAACACCTAAGAGTGGAGGCAAACACCTAAGAGGGAAGCTGTAAATTTGTTCTTTGTATTTTTGGTGAAACCAAAGATTGACTTCAAAGCCTCACTTTCTCTACCACTTCAGCCATGCCTCCAATCTGTAAACATACTGTTGGTTTGGCTAAGCTTGTAAGCTTGTAACTCTAGTACTCAGGAAATTAAGGATGACTATAAGTTTGAGGCCAACCAGAGCTACATAACAAGATATTGTCTCAAAAAACAAAAACCACCCAAACAAAGTTTACTGAAAAATTATTTCCTACAATATACTTCTTGTTGGGGGAGGGGCATATTGAGCTTGAACTTGGGGCTCCATGCTTTCCAGGCAGGCACTCTACTGCTTGGGTCATTTCTACAACCCTTTTTTGCTCTGCTTATTTTTAACACAGATTCTTAATTTTTTTTGCCTTAGCAAGTCTAGATCACAAACCTCCTATTTATGCTTGTCACCACAGGATGACGGTGTGTACCACCATGTCCAACCTTTTCAGCTGAGATGGGGTCTTGTGAACTTTTTTGCTCAGGTTGGCTTGGAATGTTGATTGTCTTGATCTCTACCTCCCAAACGTAGCCAGGATTATAGGCGTAAGCCACCAGGGCCTGATAAAATACACTTTCAATTCCTTTCAGTGACTGGGTCAGTATCATACCAGATTTTAACACAAATCTCCAGAAATTCTAATTCTTCCCTTGGACACAATTCCTTTATCTTCCCAAATTCTTGACTAACCAAAAGTGTTAAGGAAAGGTTTAGAAAGAGAACAAGTATATTTACTTACCCACTAGCATCTCAAAAAGGAAAACACCTACAGACCACCAATCACATTCTCGCCCATAGTAACCATCGCCTCCTTGCGATTTCAGAACCTCAGGTGATATATAGTCAGGTGTTCCGACTGCTGTGTCACAGTGCACCATTCCTGTCTGAATAAATAGCGGAGATTGATAAACACAGTAACAAAGCAGATCAGTGTTAAAACACACACACATAGGCACAATTAATTCACACTGTATAGACATACAGAACTTCACTGCTGACATGGCTTCAAGATTACAGGGGTTATTTACAACATGAAATGCCTAGATTATGGGAGATCAGGGGCTTTAAACTATACGAGGTTTCATCAATGAAAGAAAGTAAAGGTGGCAAACACCTGAGATTCTATGTAAACCAACAACTTTTCTTTCTTTTTCTTATTTGTTTTTTTTGGGGGGGTCCAGTTGTAGGGCCTGAACTCTGGGCCTGGGCGCTGTCCCTCAGCTCTTCAGCTTAAGGCTAGTGCTCTACCACTTGAGCCACAGCCCCACTTCTGGCTTTTTTCTTTTTGCTTATGTGGTGCTAAGGAATCGAACCCAGGGCCTCATGCATGCAAGGCAAGCACTCTACCACTGAGCCACCTTCCCAGCCCCTCTTTTTCTTATTTCCTACACCATGTAATAATTTTAAGGGAAATATAGAATGTAGTCTAAAAGACATTGATGTAGAGAAAAGAATCATTAGAAAAGGAAGCTTGGGAGTTTTCAAAAGTAGCTCAAGTACTTAAGATGACAAGGTGCCCCAGTTAGATAAAGTTCTTACTTTATCAAGAAAAAAATACATACATTAAGCATTTAAATTAAAAATTCTTGAAGGTCTTAAGATTTAATTTTTTTCTAAATATGGAGCTGTGGCATCACTACTTGTAAGATGATAAAAAAAAAATCCAAAAACACTCTATGCTCAATTTCAGATGATAACAATTTCAGATGGAACAAGATAATCCCTACTTGGTGGGGGGTTTTTTGTTTTTTGTTTTTTTTAACAAGGGTAAGTGCCATCCTAGGAGTGTGAACGTGCACACACACTACAAAATCAAGCCTCTACAGCAGTATACAGTAGAGCTAAATATATTCTTTTACCTCAAGCTCTGTCCAACATGCAAAAATTTACAGATTGATTAAAATGCTTGTAATTTCTTTTACATGCCTAATTTTTAAAAAAGCTGCCAAACAGACGAGATAAAATGTGGGCTGGAAGTGCAGCTCAGTGGTAGAGCACATGCGACATGCATGAGGCTCTGAGTTCAATACCTATGACTAAATACGTAAAAAACCAATTCAGACTTACATACTTAAGAAATTTTTTATTAATCTTCAAACTGGGAGAGATAACAATTACTTTATTATTTATAGCAAATAGAAATAAGTCATTATAGGTTAAATATAAATTATTATTTTATGGGAATTCAGCACAAACAGTGGTAGTAATAATTTGCTTCACTTATTACACAGGATAAAAAAATTAGAGAAAGGCAGAATCTACAATAATTCTTTTGTATGTATGGTGCTGCTCTATCATGGGGGAAGGGCTATATTCCTAGCCCTTACAATTTTTACACAGGACAACTCCATAATTCACACTTCTGTTGTTGGGGTTCGGGAAATTAAGAGATTTATTCAGTGAAGGAAAATCTCTACATTTCACATAAACCCAAGTGAAAGTGATTACTAGATGGAAGGGACAGACAGACAGACACATACACCCCCACACACATGCACATACAACCAGAGGAGAAATATTTAGAACTTAAAAGTTCAGAGTAAGGGGCTGAGAAGGTGGTTTAGCAGTTGAGTGCTTGCTTAGCAAGCATGAAGCCCTGGATTCAATTCCTCAGTACCAAATAAACAAAAGGTCAGAGTAAGGAGAGGAACAGGCAAGGTACAAAACATTGATATAAAGACAGGCTGTGAAGGAGGGGCAAGTTAGCCTGTAAAGGAGTGAGAGAGGTCTGACATCTCACACAGGAATGAGTTATAAAGCAGCATGATGGAGTGTATATAAAACATGCTTTAGAAAAGTAGTAAAGGCCAAATCAACCAAATGAAAGTTCCACAGAATGAAGAGGCTGGAAGCAAATGCTGGGGATCTGTTTCAGTTACTACTTGCAGAAAAATTCTTTGATCAGACTGTAACTCTCCGTTTGAAAGATTAATGTATCCACAATTTTGACTATCACGGTGAATTTTTTTAAACATTTGGGAAAAAAGACAAGGTATTTTCCAATGTGTGGAGAAGCTCCTAATTCGTATGAATATAGAGTCTACAATTATGACCAGTCTCTAATCCTGTTTCAAAGAAATACAGTAAGGATAAATCAAACACTGAAGACACTATAGTTTATGAGGGTAAGGAGGGAAGGGAGTAACAGGAACAAGGACACATTTTACATAGTTCTAACTCTTCAACCAGGGGAAATGGCACGTAAAAAAAAGAAGTAGGGGCTGGGAAGGTGGCTCAGTGGTAGAGTGCTTGCCTTGCATGCATGAGGCCCTGGGTTCGATTCCTCAGCACCACATACACAGAAAAAGCTGGAAGTGGGTGCTATGGCTCAAGTGGTAGAGTGCTAGCCTTGAGCTGAAGAGCTCAGAACAGTGCCCAGGCCCAGACTTCAAGCTCCATGACCAGCAAAAAAAAAAAAAGAAGTAAACTTTTTTCAGTACTGGTTTTGAACTCAGGACCCTGTATTTTCTAAGTAGGCACTTTGCCACTTGTGCTATATCCCCAGCAGTTTTGCTTCTAGTTACTTTTCAAATGGGGACTTGTGGCTTTGCTCAGTGCCAGCTTCAGTGTGCAATGCTCTTACCTACAGCCTCCCACACAGATGGAATAACAGGAATGGATCACCACACTTGTCTTATTAGTCGAGATTGGGGTCTCACTACCTTTTGCCTGGGCCGCCCTTTATAATCCTCCAGATCCGTGCTTCCTGAAAAGCTGGGATAACAGGAATAAACCTACTCTCATGGGCATGAAAATAAATTGTTTTCTAAATGAGTAATATAACCACACTGACAGTAGGGAAAAAATATTCTAAGCAGCTTTGGAAAACTCAGTGTGTGTGAGTGTGTGTGTGTGTGTGCATGCACACTCACATGCCAGTACTAGAGCTTGAACTCAGGGCCTAGGTACTGTTCCTGAGCTGCTTTGCTCAAAACTAGTGCTCTACCCACTTGAGCCACAGAACCACTTCTGGCTTTTTGGTAATTAATTAGAGATTAGTGTCTCATGCACTTTCCTGCCTGGGACTGGCTCTGAATCATGATCCTCCAATCTCTGCCTCCTGAGTAGTTAGGATTACAAACATGAGCCTAACACCTGGCAAAAATAGTTAATTTACAGGATACTACATAAACAAAACGATCAAATCTGTTTTATTACAATGGCAGGGACTAGCAATTATGAAATCCTTTTAGGTGTAAAACCAGAGTTGAATAGGTAAATATACTGTAGATAATAGCCAGGTGTGTGTGTGTGTGTGTGTGTGTGTGTGTGTGTGTGTGTGTGTGTGTGTGTGTGTGTGTGTGTGTGTGTGTGTGTGTGTGTGTGTGTGTGTGTGTGTGTGTGTGTGTGTGTGTGTGTGTGTGTGTGTGTGTGTGTGTGTGTGTGTGTGTGTGTGTGTGTGTGTGTGTTAAACTGTCAAAATTATAAAAAAGAAAGGACTAAGACAAGGAAGAGTCCTGTTGTGGTGAACTTGAATCAGAGGTATTGGTAGGAACTCATGACCTTTAACATACCAAAGACAGACAGAAATCTATAAATACATGTGGGCATTTCTGCTTAGTACACTTGGTGTATAATATATCTCTCTTACCTCTAGTCCACTGACAGGACCTGACAGTCCAGGATCAAAGAGCACGTCTAGAAGCCAACACTGATTTCTAAGTGCTAAAATGAATCAGAGATTCTTGGAGAAGTGGCTGACTCCACATAAACAAGAATGGGAAAAAATATACTGAGTATTTTGTAGTACCAAAAAATAATATAGGCCAGGTGCTAGTGGTGTACATATGCACATCTCTAATTCTAGCTACTCAGAAAACTTGAGATCTGAGGACTGAGGTTCAAAGCTAGCATAGGCAGAACTGTGGACAGACTCCATTTCCAATTAATCAGCAAAAAGCTGGACTAGTGAGTTTAGCTCAAAAGTTAGAACGCTAGGCATGAGTAAAACAGCTGAGAGTAAGAGGCCCTGAGTTCAAACACCAGTAGTGGTACAGAGAAAGGGAGAGTAAAGGGGGGTGGGGAGGGGGCGGGGTAGGAAGGGAAAAGGCCGGAAAGGAAAATGTTTAAAGATCACCAAAGCCAACTTCCAAAAGAGTCTTCACAAAGTTTGGACCAGGCAACTTCAGTCCAAGTTTTAATGCATGAGTAGCCATTTTCCAGGCAAGTAATTAAACAGCATATGTGAAGGCCAGGAATCACGAGATAGTGAAACCTGAGGGATTGAACAATGCGGATGCTACCTATTCTTGCATTCTGACTAAACAGCCACTCAGCACAAGCAGCTCAGAACTCCGTTTGTGTTTGTATCACTGTACTTCCCAGAGCTACACAAAACTGCTTCCTTGGATTACCCCATTACCCATCCCGCTTCCCCTACCTACCTACTATTTTCATTTGACCTCTGATTATAAAGCAATGGACACCTGCACTGCTCCTACAGTGCACCAACTGCTCTCATTTCCTTTCTTTTTAATGTACAATTTTGAAGGAAATAGTGTTTTCCCCCAAAAAATGAGTAGAAGTACCTACATTTAAAAAAATGGTGCCAATTGTGGATGATTAATTTACCAATTAGTTATTTACAATTAGTTAAGAAAAAAAAACTAGGGGGGGAGGATTGGATGGGGGGGGGGCGGGGGAGAGGTTGGGAAGGGATGTGAAGGGTAAACAAAGGAGGAGGCTACAATGCCTGATAAGAAATGTACTCATTATCTTGCCCATGTAATTGTAACCCCTCTGTACAGTATGTTCACAATAAAAAATAAAAAAACAAACAAAAACAAACTATAGCCTCAATTTAGTCAGGTGCTGTACGCTGGAGTATTAGTGGATTAAGCACACCCTGTCTTCAGCTAGTTTAGAATAATAATGTGGCTTCAGT